CAGTGTCCCCCTTTTGATTTCCATCCGAATTGTGGGGTGTCTTCATGCCAAGTAATCCCTGTTCTACCCCCCCTTACCCCCCTCCCCCGCTCTTCCCCGCTGGCCAGGAGCCTGGCAGTGGCGGTAACTGACTGATAAAGGCGAGAACCAGGCTCTGGGAGCCAAGAGTCCTGCAGTTCTGCTCCCCTAAAGGGACAGTTTTTAAGCCACTCACTGGACCTCCAGGACTCTGGTCCCTTGTCAGTAAAATGGGCACCCGAAACAAGACCAGCCAGAAATATCCTGGTGAGGAATAAGTTAGTTCGGTAGAGTGTCAGGCTAGCAGCCGGGCGGGCGTATAAAGCCATTACTTCGAGCTGCTGAATTCCAGGCATCATGACATAATGGCAAAGCCCTGGCTGGCGCCGAATCTCAGCGCCCCACTAAACTTGTGTGATGACCTTGAATCAAATACCCTGCTATGCAGAAAGAGAACCCACAGACCCGAGCCCCCACAGCCTTCAAGGGGGACAGAGTGTGCCAGTCCCCCCCCCCCCCACACACACACAAAAAGAGTAGAGGAGCAACTGCATGGGGAAGAGCCAAGTTCCTGGCCCCTGACCCCGCCCCCTTCAGATTAGTTGCGGGCACTCTGGGCTGCCAGCAAAACTGGCCTGATTTGGAAAGGAGAGCCAGGGGACTGGCCAGGAATTCAGGTCCCTAAGAGGAGCTATAAATAGCCAGCACTGGCCAGAGGGCCTGGGGGGCAGGAGGGAGGCTGGAAAGGAGCAGTGGAAAAGGAAGCTGTCAATCCTCAGCCTGGGGAAAGACCCAGCACACTACCCGAAGAGATCTACGGGAAAATTATCTACAGAAGCAAGGGCCAGCCTAGGCCACCTCTTCACTCTCCCCCAGAGTCACTCAGAGGGCTGTGGCAGGGAATGCTTGCCAGAACTCATCACCAGCACCCCCTGGGCTTTGTCCACCCACCCTACACCATCATGTCCATTCCTTAGAGCAACAGCCCAGTAGCTAGAGAGGGAAACTGAGGCCCAGAGATGTGAAGTAGTTGTCTAAGATCCCACCCTGAATCAGGCTAGGCTGGGGTTTGTTCCCTTCCTAATCCAAGGTCATACATGAGAACCAAGATGTAAGAACACGTCCTTAGGGACAAAGCCCTTCCCTGAGAACCAGTGCACAGAGTTATCCTCCAGAGACCCAGGGCTCTCCCACATCACCGTAGCTGGAAAGAGGGTGAGGTACCCATCTTTACAAGCTTTATTTTCCCGTGTCCTAAGTGTGTTTATAGTACGCATGTGCGTGCTTATGGATTTTCTGCAATATGTGTGGGCACGCACGCTCATGTGTCCAAGCTGGTATCAAGAATCAGCCTCGCTCACTCTTCCACTGAGGCAGGCCTCTCAGTCAAATGCAGAGCGCTCAAGATGGCTGTCCTTGGTGGTCAGATGGCTCTGGGGATCCCATCTCTGCCTTCGGAGGCTAGAACTACAGGTGACAGAAGACAGGGACACGAACTCTGGTCCTCAGGCGTGCGTGGCAATCCCTCTACCACTGAGCCATCTTCCCCAGCCCCTAACTTGCCAAGTGAGCCCAGTAATTCACGTGCGAGACTAAATGAGACGAGGCACACTTGAGAGCCTGATTAATGCCCTAGATGTTATACACCCAAGCCCTGCACATCCATCTCTACGTTCTTGATATTCACCATGGCACCCGGCGCATAGAAGCCCTCACTAAAGGCTGATTAAATCGAAGAAGGGAGGAAATGCTTTGCATCTAAATGCTGTATGCTTATGTCATAACAAATGCTCTTGGCTATTTATCAGCTGCTACTGACATTGCATTGAAGACTGGGTTTTTTTCCTCTGTCCTCTGTTTGAGCTTCCTGACAAATGTTATATTTTAATCTCCGGACACAAATATTATCAGTAATCAACTTAATATGTAGGACAAACATGTAATTTGCTGTCAGACTAGAAAACCTCAGGTGACATTCGTAGTCATTCTGATGGGACAGCAGGGAGACAATGCAAGCATCTTGGGAACTAGAAATGCTCAGAGCCCACACTAATGGTACACGGTGCAGCTCAGAACTCTCTGGAAAAGGGAGGAAGGGAGGCCCATCTTCCACCCATCCTGATTTCTCTTCTGTAGCTAACCCTAGACCACTTCTCTAGAACACCTTTATACCTTTTTTTTTTTTTTTTTTTTAAGATAGTCCCAGGTAGGAAAGGCTGGCTTTGATCTTGCTACATAGCCAAAGATGATCTTGGACTTCCAGTCCGCCTCAGTGCTGGACTTATGCCTGCTTTATTTCATATGGGGATCTAACTCAGGGTTTTAGCATGCTAAGTAAGCATTCTACCAAGTTCTGTACCAGGCTCCCTACCTTCAACCCATTTTTAGGGTACTCATTCCAACCAGAAGGTGGTCTTGGCCACTTCTTCATTTCTAGAGCATTTGTACCACCCCAAATGTAGAAACTCGGGGGCCTGATAAACACTCAACCCACGAGCTACACACTACCCAGCTGTCTGTCCTCCAATGCCATTCCCGCTCAATTCTTTCTTTGTCTGGTTTGGTTGACCTTCTAATGGGTCCCTCAGTACAGTACAGTACAGCATAGTACAGTACAGTACAGTATAGATGATATATTATAGCTTATAGAGGATCTCTTATAGCCCATGCTGGCCTCATAATCAGCACACAGTCAATGCTGGCCTTGAACTCCTGGCTTTTCTGCACCACTACACTGATCCTGCGAAAAACAGAAGTGGGATGCGTATCTCATTAGCTCAGTGACAATGGTTCCTGTTCTCCCGCTGGTTTCCATCCTAAGACTCTCCAACCTCTCAGGAACCCTTACTACTTCCTCAAACAGCAGGAAATCTCAGAGCCTCTGTAGCCACCCCCTGGAAATCCCCTGCACACACCTCCCCCTACCTCCTGGTCCACCCTCTCTACCTCTTCAGGGAACACTTTCCATTTAGATAGGCGTATGAATGCTTCTTTTATCTCCTTCACAGTGCACCCTGTTTCTTTCCAAAGTCCTTCCCTATTAAAATCGAATCTGTGCTGGAGAAGTAGCTCGGTGTTAAGAGCACATATTGCTCGTGCAGAAGACCTGAGTTCAGTTCCCAGTACTCACATGGGTAACTCATAACTTCCTGTAACTTCACCTCCAATGTATCTGACGCCCTCTTCTGGCCTCTGCAGGCACCTGCACTCACGTGCATGTATACACACAGTGCAACATACACACAAGCACACAATTAAAAATAAGGGCCCAGCCAGGCATGGTGGTGCACACCTTGAATCCCAGCACTTAGAAGGCAGAGGTGAGAGGGTCTCTGTGAGTTGGAAGCCAGTCTGGTCTACAGAGCAAATTCCAGGACAGCTAGAGCTGTTACATAGAGAAACCTTGTCTTAAAGCAAACAAACAAATTAATTAATTAATAAAAAAAGGCCGGGCACGGTGGCGCATACCTTTAATCCAAGCACTCAGGAGGCAGAGGTAGATCTCTGTGAGATTTGAGGCCAGTCTGGTCTACAAGGAGAGTTCCAGGACAGTCCAGGCTATGTAGGAGACCCTCTCTCAAAAATAAAATAAAATAAAATAAACAAATAAACAACTAAATAAAAAGTAAATACCTTTTAAAAATGTAATCTCACCCTTTGTCATTTTCGGAACACTCCTCGCCTGTTTTCCCCAGCACTTACCAAAATATATCACGTATTTTACTTAGCTTATTTGGCAGCTGATGCCTGCAAGTTCCATGAGAGCAGGCTCTCCTTTGTTTCCTTGTTTGGACTGTTCCGCACCTCCATGCCTAGAGTAGTTCCCGGCAGAGAGCATCCGCTCCGTATACGCTTGTCAAATGAGCACAGGACTGATGAAGCAAATGAAAGCTGAACATTCGCCCTTGGCACTGAGTGGGATTTTAATCCCACCAACTCCAAAGCAAGCACACTAACCCTTTTGTGAGTCTCAGTGTCCCCATGGTTAGTGTGGCAAGAGCACATGTTGCCTTCCAGGGCTATGGAGAATCTTACATACTCTTTTACAGGTAAACCACTACTAGGCTCATTTAGAAACTTTGGAACTCAGTAAACTGAGCACCCCTAAGGGTATAGGATTAGTGGTCAGCAGCTGGAAAGATGGCTGAACTTGATCCTCAATCGTGAAAACCAATTTGGATCCCAGCACCCACAGAAAAAAACAGGGTGGCCTTGAAACACCTGTAACCCAGCTCAGAGCAGGGCGGAGACCTGAGGATGACTGGGGCTGCCTGGCTTCTAGTACAGCTCTGACCATGTGAGGCATAGGTTTAAGGAGGCATCCTGCTTCAAAGAAACAGGTGAAGAGCAATGAAGGAAGATTGGACTCCTGGTGTCCTCTTCTGGCCACCGTACACACAGGTGAGCATATGCTCCCACAGACCACACACACACACACACACACACACAGCTTTAAAAGAAAAGAAGAGCAGTAGTCAACTGTTCCTACAGCCTGCACTCACAAGAAGCATGGGCAGCATGAAGTAGCAACAGACATTCTCATTTCAAACCGCTGGTTTCTACCTCATGCCCTCCTTTCCTGAACCCAGGTTACCGCAACAGGAATGGCTGGGGTCTCTCCAATTCCCTGCTTCCTCACAGGCCTCACCCTGTGTGAAACATTGCGAGGGAAGGAGCCACGTGAGAACACAGGGTGAGAGGGGAGAGGTTGGCCCAGCCCTCCCCACCTGCCAGCTTCCTGTCTGCCCGCTGATAAATAGGGGAAGAAACATGGCCAGAGTTTCCATTCCCCCACCATTGACCCCCCCCCCGCCAGTCATTCAGCTCCAGGGGAGGGGTGGGGGCCCTAGTTATAAAGCGCGCAGCTGAGGGCCAGAACAGCGAGCCTGGTCCTCTCGCTGTCATCCCCAGCCAGGCTTAGCTGCTGACAGCTGCTTGGGACTCTGCCTCGAAGGCCCGGCTGTCATCGCAACCCCGATACTTGTCAGCCACAGTTCTTCCATGGCTCAGAAGGAAGAGGCCCCCGAGGCTGCAGGGCCGGCCTCCCAGAATGGAGAGGATCTGGAGAACCTGGAAGACCCCGAGAAGCTAAAGGAGCTCATCGACCTGCCGCCCTTTGAGATCGTCACTGGGTGAGCCTGTTCAGGGGCTGGGGTCTCCGGCCTGGGAGAAGGGGTCTGAGGAGGCTGTGGAAGGTTAAGACCAGAATAGTAGGACCAAGGTCAGACACGAGCTCTGTGCCCAGCATCCTAGCAGGGGGTTTCAGGGCAGCAAATGCCTCTTCTTTTTTTGTTTGTTTGTTTTGTTTTTCCCCCACGAGGCAGGGTTTCACCATGTAATTTTGGGTGACCTGGATCTCACTGTGTTGACCAGGCTGGCCTTGAATTCACAGAGATCCTCCTACCTCTTCCTCTTGGGTGTTGGGATTAAAGGTGTGTGTGCCCAGGCCCAGCTACTTACTCTTGGTTTCTTGAGGTGACGCTTTGGATTCTATAATCAGTAGGAAGTGGGAGTGGGGAGAGCCTCTGAGGAAGGTACCCGCAGAATGAAACCACGTGAAGTTTTCTTCGTGGCAGTTTCTGATGTGCAAAGACAGAATGGTACCTCACTGACAGCAAGAGGGATGGTGGTGTGGATGCAGGAGAGGGAGAGAGAGTCCTGGGCACCTGGACTGGCTGCAGGTATTGGGTACCACCCACATCCGTGCATCTAATCCACTCCCAAGGAGTTAGGTGAGAAGGGCACATTAAAGACAGTCCCAGACATCGGGAGCTTGTTCACAGAGAAGCTGTCCCACGAGCTCAGCACAGCCCGGAGCAATTACACCCAGATCAAACAGTCTGCAGGTCCCTGGGGGAGAGTCATGTTCAGGGTCCCCTCTTGTCCAGATTGTACCGTCTCCAGAAATGAGCAGTAGTAGCCTTCCTCCTCATCTCTATTCTGAAAGAGGAAGATGCTGCTAAATTCAAAGCAGAGAGAAAGAAAGGACCAGGGGCAGGTTCCCCCGCCCCCCGGAACCACACGTGGTTCCCTCCGTAGCCATCTCCAGCAATGTGCAGAGACTAGGAGGAGGTGCGCTGAGTCCCTGGAGGACAAAGCCATGGGTAGTAGTTGCTGTCTTATGCTTCATGTGCAATGCCTAGGCCTGGTCTCCATTTTCTATTTCTAACACGAGGAAGCTCTCCCAAGTTGATTCTTAATGTCCCTTCCTGCTCAGATATTTTCTGACTTCTGAGAGAGCCCAGGGGGAAATGTAGTTTGGTTCCTGAGACGTGAGTAGCCACTGAACTTCCCTTCACTCACCCAGATAATCCTGCTCTCCTCCTAGGATTAAGGGAACAGCCGGACACAGACTAATATAGACACAGGGAAAGCCTAGGGCAAACCGGCCAGCAGGGTCCTCAACTCCAGTGGCTTGCCTATGGCAGAGGATCCTTTTACTGACACCTGAGCATGCTGGACCATGCTGTCCTGGGTTACACACATACCTTCCACTCACTGCAGTTTTGATCTCCCAGGTACAGGGGCAAGGTGAGTCAACAACAAAATTAGACTGTTGGCTTGAACATGCACTGGGGTCCCAGGCAGTGGAGCCTGAAGGTTCTTAGAAGTAACTGACACATTCGCGAGAATGTGTTTATTCGCCCTCAGCATAATACAGAGACAGACAGACAGACAGAGAGGAAGAGAGGCAGAGAGACAGAAAAACAGAGAAACAGAAACAGGGAGGAAGGAGAAAAAGACTCAGGCAGACTGAACAAGATACCTAAGACCAGAGAACCAGGAAGTGTGAGGTCCCTGGACTCTTGGCCAAGTTTCTTGCCCACAGGTCTCCCATGGCAATGAGTTGCAGGTTTTCCAAGGCTCAGAGAAAGGGGCACAGAGGATCACGGTTCTGGGTCTCTGGGAGCACTCCTGGATGGAGGTGGAGCTCTGAGTGTTTCCTGGACACAGGCAACAGCTGTGGTGATCTGTCCCTTTGGTCTCTCTGGATAAACAGATACTTAAAATAGCCCAGAGGTGTGGCCTTATCTTCCCAGGACCAGGAAAGATGGCTGCCCTTTCCTTCCCTTTCCAGAGGACCAGCGAAGCCACTCCTTCCCTAGTCTAGACTCCACAGGGAAGCGAACTGAAAAGCTCCTCAGATTTGGGCTGAAGCTAGCAGAAGAGCGGGGGTGGGGGGGTGGGGGGGGAGGGTGGGGGAGTGGGGGGGTCAGGGAACCGCCAAGAGCAAGGAGGGTTTGCAGAGGAATGAGAAGGGTATTTTGAATAGACAGAAAGCAGACCTGAGCTCAAGACCAAGAAACATGGCAGAAGTCTAGAAAAGGATCTAAAAGCACAGGGTGTGCTGAAGCCAGGCTCTCCCATCTGGAGAGCAGATTTGCCCATCTCTTCCAAGTCCTGTATCCAGTGGTTTCCCACCCATACTTTTTTAGATCTGCATAGCACAGGGATTACACAAGAGAAATCAGCATATGTTGGGCTTGCAAAATGGCTCAGAAGGTAAAGGGGCTTGCCATGAAAGCCTGGCAACCTGAGTTCCATTCCCAGAACTCACATAAAGGTGGAAGGAGAAAACTAATTCCACAAGATTGTCCTCTGGACTACAAACAGGTGGTGTGACACGCACAGACTGGTGTCTACACCATACAGCATGTTCAACACACACACACACACACACACACACACACACACACACACACACACACGATGATTATGTAAAAAGAAAAATCAGCACACATTACAACTTGAGGGTTTTTCCCCCCTTTGTCTCAGAGAACTGGGTATATTTATCTAGTTTCAGAAGTTTCTCTTTCTGTGCTTTGGCTAAGCTTAGGATGGCTCTTTGAAAGGGATAACTTGAGGCTTTAGAGACAGCATCATCCACCAAAACCAGCTATAAATTCAAGTGTCTACTATTGTTCAAAATCTGAGAGGATGGATTACTTAGTCAGTTGCATATAGAAAATAAACCTCAGAGGGTCAGGGACTTTGCTCAAGGCTGGTCAGGGTCATAGGACATGAACCTCAGGACCTTATGACTCCAAAGCATAGCACTACCCCAAGCAAACCATAAAGAGGACTATCATATTCACAAATATTTACCACCTGTGAATTGTGCACTGACTGCATGTTTCCACTAGCTCTCCTGCATGACAGCAAGGACTCTATTTCACTACTTTATCTCTAGCTCTCAATTGGTACTCAATAAATATTTGTAGGCTAAATGAATGGACTAATAAATGAGCACTTCCCTGTGTTAGGCTCTCTGCCAACCATTGTAACAGGAAGTGAGCTGGAGGGAAGGATTCTACTGCAGAGATCAGGATAGAAAGAGACTTGCAGTTCTCAGCATGGACAGAATTTTCCAGACATGCCCTTGCAGCAAGCACAGGGGTTCTCTAGGACAACACAATCCCCATCTTTCCCTCTCTGCCATAAGTGAACCTAGTAGCACCACCCTTCTGAGTGTGGGATCATGCTTCTGAGGAAGGCATGGCCTGCCGTCACAGGGGTTCCAGTGACTGAGGGTAAATGGCAGAATGAGTTTTCTCTTAACCATGTCTTCCCGTTCTTATAGATTTACTTTTATTACTGTATGTGAATGTATGAATGTTTTGCTCACATACATATGTCTGTGGAGTGAGCCTTCAACACCATTCCTCTGTGTGTGTGTGAGTGTGTGTGTGTGTGTGTGTGTGTGCAAACGCTTGCTTGTGTGCACCCATTTGTGGGAGTGTGGGAACACGCATACCATGGTATATATGTGGAAGTCAGGTCTCTTGTTTTGTACTGTCTGCCCTGCTAGCTACCCATGGGCTGTCAGGGCGTCTTCTGCCCCTGCCTCCTATGCCCACATAGGAATACCCAGGCTATAGACAGGGGGACAACCATGCCTGGCTCTTCACTTAGGTTCTGGTTCAAAGTCAAGACCTGACACTTGCAGAGCAAGCACTTTGGCCACTGAACTTTAGTTTTTATGAGACAGGGACTCATGATGCAGCTCTGGCCGTCCTGGAACTATGTGACCGGGCTGGTTTTGAACTCACAGAGATCTACCCATCTCTGCCTCCCAAGTGCTGGGGTTCAAGGCATGTGCCACCATGCCCAGCCTCCAGTTGATACAAATCCCCAAACCTGGCCTCTGGAGCATGCTGAGCTGTGGACTACTAGAAACAGAAAATGGCCCACCAGCTGCCACCCTGGCCTTCAGGGAGGTCAAAGCTGTGTGGGAAATGTGTGTCCCATGGCGAAGGCACTGGCTTCCTGCTTGCCTTAGGCAGAACTTCATCAGTCCTGCAAACCTAGCATTTTCTCCTTAGTTCAAGAACCTTCTGTTTTGATCTCCACTTCTCTTCCTGACTGGACCACTATTGGGATTTATGAGGCAGGAGTACCTTGGTGGACATCCAGGCCAAGGGATGCCACGAAGATCACACCACACAACAGATCTCATGCAGATGTATGGGTTGGGGGGGGGCAAAACATTGCAGAGCAGGGACATGAGAGACAAAGACACAGACAGAGAGGACAAGAGAGTGATCTGTGATGATGATGACGATGATGATGAAGCTGCTGGCGCTGAGTCACTTAAGGCAGGCTGGGGGAGCCCCTGATTTCTAACACTCTTGGCATCGACATTGAAAGCGGATCTGAGAAAGGTGGGTATCAAAGCCACAACTCTACCTTTAACACAGAGTCACAGACGGGGGCCAGAGGAACAGGGGGCACAGGGGACAGACACAAGTCAGTATTCCATCTGTCCTGAGTGGACTTTCCACTCCACTGGTTACTTTGTAGCGAATATTTCATCTCTGACCAGCTTCTAGGGACTGCAAAGTTGCCCCCTTTCCTTGTATATTTGTGCTTAGGAAACACAAATGTTTAAAACATAGACCTTAGGAAAAAATATATACTATGTATACCCACATTAGTTCTCCCTCATTCAGCAGACTTCTATATTATTATTATTATTATTATTATTGCTAGATGTGAGGATTCAGTGTTCCTCTTTTTGGTCCTTTCTATGCCCAGTGTGAATGGTGCCTTAAACAGGGAACTGGAATCACACTCCAGGGCCTGCACCGGAGTGAGTGACGAAATGCCAAGAAACAAAGCCTAGCACCGTCGCCACCCTCCAGGCTGCCCTTCCAACACATCTGCACACGTGTACACAATTACACATACACAGAATGCCCGTTCCTTCTTTACCCTGAATCGACTGAGGTTGAGAGCAGTACTTAGCCATATTGTGTTATTAGGGAAAAGGTTTACAACTGAGAAATTAGATGTCCCTGCTTCCTTCCTTCCTTCCCCTATGGAGCCAAGTGGTGTTGGCTTGCCCTGTGTTCCCATAGTTGCCTGAGACAGCCATGTTATCCAGCTCTGCAATGGTTTCAGCTCTCTGCCAGCTCTTTCCTGGTGCAGGTAGTCCACAGGATACCCAAGAACCTTATTTGACCTTTATGCTCCTTCTGGCCAAGAAACCCACTGAGAAGTCAGAGGAGCCAAGCAAGACAGCAGCTCCTCCCCTAAGCTGCTAGACCAGAGGCCCTGTGAGGAAGAGGGACTGCTGGCAGGGACAGGGGACAGGGGACAGGGTGGGCTCTGGGACTGCCGGCAGGATTAGGCCAGAAAGGATATTTATAGTGAGGTGACCTTTCTTCCTCTCCCATGGGTTTAGGGTTTCTGGGTCCTTTCTTCATGCGTGGGGAAGAAGAGAAGGAGGGTTCCATTCTCTTCCATTCAGCTTGCTACTGTGGGCTACTGCGTCAAATTCTTGCTTTTAGTGAGGTTACACCAGACAAAGTTGGAACAGTGCTTTGGGCACAGGGTGGGGGTGGGGAGGCTCAAGGAAAAAAAGAAAAACAAAGGATCACCTGGGACAGCCACTGCTAACCCATAAATACTTCTAACACACCCCCTCCCCCAGGGTCCAGCGTAGAAGGCGGTTTTGGCTTAGACGCGCCCCTTAGGGAGGCAAGGAGTTTAACAAAAGTCCTAAAGTACCACAAGCATCAGCTCTGTGTTCTCAGGCACAGGAATCTCTTTCAGGGAGTGAGGGGACCCTGGAGGAACAGGTGGAGCTGGAGGGTGGTTTGGTGGGTGAGCAACTATGCAACCAGGAATATTCCATCAAGATTCGAAAGAGGAAAGGTAAAGCAGCGGGCGATCGTTCCTGCGGAAATGTTAAGTAAATAATAAACACTTCCAGGTGGACACAGAGGTGCTTAGAGAGCTAAGAGGAATCCTGGGGCTGGGTCCTCAGACAGGCCCTTCTCCATATTGGAAACTTGACTTGCCAGCAGGGGACAGGGGAATATGGGTGGGGACATTCTGTGATGAGGCAAGGAAAAGATGGATCATGGGGAGGGGGGGGACTTCCTCACTGGAAGCAGCCAAGGTCTGGGCCATGAGGGATTCCCTGAAGCCTGGCATCTGCTGACCTTTCTGGGGAAAGAGGAGGAGGAGCCAGGCACCTTGTGAGTTAGTGGTGCCACGGGGGCATGTCCTGGAGCAGGTGCAGAGATTGTACATTTATTCTGTGGTGCTGGAGGTCTCACACGCTAGGCAATCGCTCTCACACAGCCACACCCAGACACAGAGACCGACTATAACAAGCTAAGTGGCGGCTCTGGCTGGCACTTTCCACTCCTGGCCTTGCAAACTCTCATTTTCATTGGCCTCCAAACCTATGTGGGTCTACATTTTAGGAAAATATTCACAACTAAGAAAACTCAAAAACAATCTTTGAGATCCGCAAGATGGCTCAGCAGGTAAAGGCGCTTGCTGTCAGTCCTGACCGTCTAACCTTGATCCTCTGAGCCCATGGGATGGAAGGAGAGAAACTTCTCTTACAAATTTTCCTTTGACCTCCACACACATGAGGTAGCAAGGTGCCTCTTCCCCATAAACAAACAAACAATAAATGTATGCAATTTTAAAAGAATACATGTATGCACGTATGTAATTTTAACACATCACTGTCAACTTTGACGCCTTCTCTCCTCTTTATTAATGCTGTTCTTTAAAACGCCCAGCCACTCCTTTTACTGCCTGATGTCAGTCAACCTTTAAATCTTCTAAGTCCACTGTTGTAAGATACCCAGTGAGCTGTTTAAATCTCAGGCATCAGCCTGATGTCACCAGTGTGGTCTTCCCTGGGTATCATCCTTTCCTTCAAGAGCTAAAAACATCTGTATTGCCTCCAGAACCAAGACCCTGCATGCATTGTCCAAAGACATTGCTGTTAGCAGATGACTGACAAGAAACAACTGAAGAGGAGTTTCTTTGGGCTCACAGTCTGAGGAGATGCCCTTCCAAGCACGAGAGGCAGGAGCAAGGCAGCTGTTCACATGGCATCCAGTTAGGGAGTGAAAGCATGGAATCCCTTTCTGTGCAACCTGAACCCTGAGCCCATGGTTAGCGCTTCCCGTTGAGGGTAAATCTCCCTGGAAACGCCCTCACAGATATGCCCAGAGATGTGTCTCCTGGGTGGTTTGAAATCTAGTCAAGATGACAAACTAACCATCACACTCCATGTCCTCTCCTGTCCACTTTTGCAATGTTCTAGCATTTTTGACCATTTATTTACATCTTACCTGTCTAACTAGATGCTCGATGTTAGTTGACAGCCATGTGGAGGCCAAGGGCCAAATGATCCAACACTACAGCCAAGCTTACCTACCCATTGATACCCTTGGGTAGACTTGTCTCACAGATAACTCTTAGTCCCTAATGATGTGACACCCCTTTCAATTGAGGACAGCCAGTAGGAGAACACCGTATTACAAAATACAAGCCATTCCATGACCAAAACACAATCTACACAAGCTACAAAGAGAAATGAAGGCATGAACACTGGAAAATCTGTCTTGTTTCCTTGTTAGAAATTCCACAATCTGCTACCTCTTAAAATTGCTATTTTTAAAGGCAGAAGCAGCACACGCCTTTAATCCCAGCACTCAGAGGCAGAGGCAGGTAGATCTCCGTGAGTTTGAGACCAGGCTGCTCTACAGAGTGAGTTCTAGGACAGCCAAGGCTACACAGTGACACTCTGTCTCAAAGCAAAACAAAACACTGCTATCCTCTGTGTGACTGGAGAGCTCACCATGATGTAGGGTGTGATGATGGAGTAAGGGTGGTACACTCCTGCCCTCCAGAACTTGGGAGACTAAGACAAGACATCCTGGAGTTCCGGGCCAGTTGGGATAACTAGATCCCACTGAGGGAGGGAAGCTGGGGCTACTTCCTGGTAGTGTAACCAGAATACAAACTCAAATCCGGATCAACTCTGTCCCCCCACCAGTAAACTCTTTCTAAAAGATATTTACATTTGAGCCAAGCATGGTGGCACAGACCTTTACTCCCAGAACTCAGGAGGCAAAGGCAAAGGCAGGAGGATCTCTGTGAGTTCGAGGCCAGCCTGGTCTATATAGTTCCAGGACAGCCAGGGTTACATCAAAAGACCTTTGTTGTCTCTAAAGGGTGGGTATTTTTATATTGATGTGTATATGTCATTTGAATGTGTGCAGGTGACTTTGGAAGCCACAAGAAGCTGTCAGAGCTCTTGAACTAGAGTTACATGTGCTTGTGGGTCTCTGAACAAGGATACTGGGAACAAGTCTCCTAGAAGAGCAGCAAGTACTCCTAACCAATGTGCAATATACACGCACACACACACACATATATGTATAGATACACACACATATATACATATATGTACATGTATGTACATATATACATATACATATACATATATATACATACATACAGTCAGGGTTACTAGAAAAGCAGCAAGTACTCCAAACCAATGTGCGCTATATTATCGTCAGTGTTAGCATAGGCAAAGCACGGTTTCGGGAAGAATGACTGGGTCTTGGAGTTCTGCCCCATCTAGGTCCTAGAAACAAGGACTCATCATTCCCTTCCCCCCTGCCTTGTTGTCTCCTTAATTTGCAGGGAGCGGCTGCCTGTCAACTTCTTTAAATTTCAGTTCCGGAATGTGGAATACAGTTCCGGGCGGAACAAGACCTTCCTCTGCTATGTGGTTGAAGCACAGAGCAAGGGAGGCCAAGTGCAGGCGTCCCGGGGCTACCTGGAGGATGAGCACGCAGGTGCCCACGCCGAGGAGGCTTTTTTTAACACCATCCTGCCAGCCTTCGATCCGGCCATCAAGTACAGTGTCACCTGGTATGTGTCCTCCAGCCCCTGTGCAGCCTGCGCCGACAGAATCCTCAAAACCCTGAGCAAGGCCAAGAACCTGCGCCTGCTCATCCTGGTGGGCCGGCTCTTCATGTGGGAGGAGCCAGAGGTCCAGGCCGCTCTGAAAAAGCTCAAGGAGGCTGGCTGCAAGCTGCGCATCATGAAACCGCAGGACTTCGAGTACGTCTGGCAAAATTTTGTGGAGCAAGAAGAGGGCGAATCCAAGGCCTTTGAGCCCTGGGAGGACATTCAGGAGAATTTCCTGTATTATGAGGAGAAGTTGGCAGACATCCTGAAGTAGGCCGCAGAGCTCAACCCTGTGAGTTTTTCTGGCACCCTGGCGCCATCTGTGTTTACTTGGGTAGAAGACTTGAAATACAGTTCCAGGAGGGTGCACTGCTCTGCATTAATTAGTTGTAGAAACATTCTAGAACATTATTTCCTTTTCCCTTTCCTCTGAAGCCCTCTACCTAAAACCACGTTGAGGTTGAAGAGAGGGCTCGGCCATTAAAAACACTGGTGTTCCTGTAAAGTCCGTCCCCAGTACCCACACTGGGTGGCTCACAACTGCCTGTGACTCCAGCTTCAAGGGTCCTAACACCTTCTTCTGGGCTTTAGACACTAGAATGCACTTGCCCATACTCACACAGGACACACACACACACACACACACACACACAAGGCGAGAGAGACGGCGCAGTGGTTACAAGCACAGGTTATTCTTGCAGCGGACCCAGGTTTGACTCAGCATCCACATCATGGCTTACAACCACCTAGAATTCAGTTTCTGGGACTCCAAGACCTTGACTGTGGCTATTCTCTAGATCTCTATTCCCAAATTCACAACCCCCATTTTTCTGTAATGAATGCAGTTTCCATTCTTGGGGACAATTTCTTTTTTCTTTCTTTTTTTTTTTTTTTTTTTTTTTTTGCTATCCCTCCCCCTTTGACATTTTATTGTTTTTATGGGTATGGGTATTTTGCTTGCATGCATGTCTGTGTACCATGTGCACGCTTGGTACCCAAGGAGGCCAGAAGGGGGCATTAGAGCCCCTAGAAGTGTAGTTACAAGCAGTTGTGGGAATGAAACCCTGGTCCTCTTGAAGAGCAGCCAAAGCTCTGAGCCATCTCTCCAGGTCCTCTTTTGACTTTAGCCAGCTCTGCTCTCCTGCTTCCGAAGGGTTCTTTGAGTTGCTCAGTGGTTGCTGGGTGGATGTGTAAGGCCAGGGCAGTCTTCATCTTGAGAATCAGTCTCCCAGGGAACTCATGGAGAGTCAAATGCAATGAGGTGAGCAGTGAGCTGTTTGTACCAGAATGTCTAAAGGGTTAAAAGATGTTTGTAACTGCAACAGCAGCTCAGAAGCAGCCTCCTACAGATGTCAAGAGGTGATATGAGAACTGGAAAGAAAGATGAGCTGTTTGGGCAAATAATTAGGACACAATTAAGGCCAATTTGGCCTCTTGCTGAGGGTAAATTAGACTCTCACAGAAACAGGCCAATTATCCTCAGGAAAGAGGGTAAAAGAGCCTTCACTCTCTTTTGAATTTGGTCAGATCTAGTTTGCTCCTATGGAACGTCTGTGGCTGAACCCCCTTCCAAGGCCAGATGAAAAGCTTGTGACAGTGAAGGCTCTTCACTGTACTCCTACCCGAGTTTAATTCTGGAACGACTCCTGTATTCGTAAAACATGGGCGCAGCATGTGTCCATGAAGATCGTTCAATTTATGTTTGATGTTTCTTGTTCCTAATACCCTTAAGAGAAGATGCTGCTTCACAGCCACGTTCTGGAAATCTCGATGTTCCGGAGCTGTATGTTGGCAGGTGTTGGCTATTAGGCATGCACACAGGGTGCCCAGACGTCCTTGGGCTAAGCATCTTCCTGTCCAAGAAGACACATTTTCAGTTCATTCTTTCTAGCAAAAGCGCAGAGACTTTGTGGGCAATCATAAGGTAGGTTCACATCCTAAAATTATACAGGACACTGGGTTATAACAGCAGTAAAGACAGTGATGGGAGACTCCTGACAATACAGAACTTGCTTTTACAGTTCCCCAAAGATTTTTGTTAGTGTAGTTTTCACTACAATGATTGTATGGGCAGCATAAGACTCGACAGAATGGTGACCACTGGTGTTATTTTAACCCTGAGGTGCCGTCTTTTGCAGTCTTCATGGGAGAGAGGGATATGGTGGTGTGTGCCTATAATCCTAGCACACCAGAGGCAGAGGGTCATGAGTTAGGAGCTATCTTGGGTTATAACAATTCTCAGGCTAACCTAAGCTACCTAAGGAGACCTTGTCTCAAAGCAAGAATCAAAAACAAAGAAAACAAGAGTTTGGGGTGGAGGTGTAGTTCAGTGGTAGAATGCTTACAAAGCCCAAAGATTTGTGCTCGGGGTATGTTTGGTTGTGAAATGCTTGCCTAGCATGCGTACATACTGGATTCAGTTCCCAGAACCACTGACAATAACAGCAACAATAATATCATGATATGCCTGTGTTCCCAGAACCAAGGGGTGGACTGAAGAGAATGCAGAGTTCATAGGCCAGCCTGGGCTACCTACTCTATCCCCAAAACTGCATCAGCAGCAACAACATAAACCTCCCCCACAAAAAATACCATTTTTTAAAAAATAAATTTTTATTTAAATTAAAAACCTTATTTTACATATCAATCCCAGTTCCCTCTCTCTGCCATCCTCCCATGCCCCCCACCAACCCCACATCTACTCCCCAGGGAGGGTGAGTCTGACACATCATTTGGGGCAGGACCTAGTCCCTCCCCTGTGTATCCAGGCTGGGAGAGCATCCTTCCATAGGGAATGGGCTCCCAAAACCCATTCCTGCACTAGGGCCACTGCCAGAGGCCCCATAGACTGCCCAGGGCCCCCAACTGACACTCATGTTTACGGGGCTTGGTTCCGTCCTATGCTGGTGCCCCAGCTCTCAGACTGGGCTCTGTGAACTTCCACTTGCTCAGGTCAGCTGTTTCTGTAGGTCTTGACCCCTTTGCTCATCATTCCTCAGTACAACTGGATTCCCGGAGTTTGGCTCAGAGCTTGGCTGAATACCACACTTTTTATAAAATGGTATTTAACTTTTGCTTATTTGTGTGTGGGAGAGGACACATGTCATGACACACCTTGCCAGAGTTGGGTCTCTGCTGCCACCATATGGGTTCTGGGGATGGGAATTCAGGTGTCGGGCGTGGCAGCAGGAGCCTAACCCTGACTGGGCTATCTGCCAGCCCCTCTGAAAACTTTTGTGTTTTGTTTTTCGAGACAGGGTTTCTCTGTGGTTTTAGAGGCTGTCCTGGAACTAGCTCTTGTAGACCAGGCTGGTCTCCTCACAGAGATCCGCCTGACACTGTCTCCCGAGTGCTGGGATTAAAGGCTTGTGCCACCACCACCCGGCTTCCCTCTGAAAACTTTTACAGGCCACTTTCACCAGCTACCACACTAGCAAGTCTTCAGGGATTTTTCTTTTCTTTAAAATTATGAATTTCACAAAGTGTTTTAATCTGGGATCACTAAGCATTTTAACTGATACTTTGCAAGTATGAAGGCAAAGTACATGTCTAAGTCAGCGTATTTTAAAATACTCTGGGCGAGATGGCTCACCGAGTAAAGGTGCTTGGCGCCAATCCTGAAGACATGCGTTTGATCCATGGGACCCACATAGTGGAGAGAACTGACTCCCAAATGTTATTCTTCACCCTGCAAACATGTACACACCCCCCTCATACACATAAATTAATGTAAATATTACTCCTGCTTGTGTATACAGATAGCCCATTCACACACTTCCCTGGACTTATCTGTGAGTCTTCCAAGTTCCCAAGGGAAGGTCAAATGTAACAAAAAAAGCTATTGTAGAGTCCAAATGACCCAAAAGAAGAGCCCTTCTTAAAGTTCACTAAAAAGCATCCATTTAATAAATGTCTCTTATTCGTCTTCTGCTTTTAAGACTGGCAAACCAGCCGGGCGTTGGTGGTGTACACCTTTAATCCCAGCACTCGGGAGGTAGAGGCAGGTGGATCTCTGTGAGTAGATCTCTGTAGGCCAGCCTGGTCTACAGAGCTAATTCCAGGATAGGCTCCAAAGAAACCCTGTCTTTAAAAAAAAAAAAAAAACAAAAACACAACAACAACAAAAGACAGACCAGCGCATGGGAGGCAGAGGTAACAACGTTCTGAGTTTGAGACTAGCCTGATCCTAGTGTAGGTTCCAGACCAGACAAAGCTATGCAGCCAAGCACATCTCCTCCAGGACTGTGGTACCCACACCAAAGCAATGAAGGAAACAATCCTAACTCTAGCTCAGCCAGGAACCACGGGAGGCCTGGAGGAAACAGCCAGGGTCTCTTTAGAGAAAGTACAAAGTCTTAGTTAGCTTAGAGGGCTGGGTGCTGGGGGTCAGCAAGGCTCTCGGTAACATGCTTTGTTTTCTATGAAGGTCCTGCCCGCTGCCAGCAGAGAAGCAGTGACATGATGGCATCCAGGACATGCCTGTCTTCCCAATTATACCTGGAGCTGAACATTTGACACCAACCAATTGTACTGGACAAAGCCCTCCCTCAGACAACTCGAAGCACACCTCAGGCTGCCATTCATTCAACCATGCCTTCTGTAATGTGGCTATTGGGGGAAAAGAAAATGAAGGCAAGGAAAGAATGGTATGTGGGTACCAGGCACCTGGGGTAGAGTATTACTACCTCCCTAGGGTTGCTGCCTGAGACAAAGACCCGAAGATTCAAGGCACAGACCTTTGAAATCCATCCAGAAAAGTGTTTTGAGTTGGGCTAGGTTGTTGTTTTTCTAAGGCAAAATAGCATCATAAATAAAGGAAATCGTGTGGCTTTTGTGGCCTGTTCTTTTAAGAAAGTTGGGCGATGGAAAGTTCCCACGGACAGTAAGTGGATACTGGGCACAGGGATATTTTAGGCTAAGAACCAAGCCATGGCGCTAGCAAGAGAAAGCCAGGTCTTGACAAGGAAGAACCAACTCTCCAAGGCTGACTTCTCACCATTGGCCCTGACTTTATTTTCTCCCGAGGGCTGGGTAGATGGCAGTGACTGAATGTGTAAGGCTGTTACTGCAAGCGTAGCACACAATAAAAGGTGGAAGAGAATCCCTAGAAGTGTGCTAGCCAGGCTGTTATACTCAGTGGCAACCAGGAGACACGGATTCAAACAAGGTGGAAGATGAGAAATGAAGAAAGCCATGATTGGTCCGCTCACCTCCATGTGCATGCCATGAGCCACACATGTATTTCTTCCTGGAGGAGGAGGTTTGGTTTCCAGGAGAGTACTTGCCTGGCATGTGCAAGGCCCTCATTCCATCCCAAGCACTACTGAAAATTCTCCTGGGATTATTTGTAAACGGTAGCTTTTCCTTTGGTTTGAAGATAATATGGTGGGGTCACAAGGCTCATGGAGTTTTATGAAATATCCACACCTTGGTGGCCAAGCAAAAAGCAATTTCCTCCTCACTAGGGAGGGTCTAAGGTAGCCAGTCGATGTTCGGACACACTGTCAGATCCTAAAAAGTAGCACTTGGAAACCATGACAGGATGGTGGCCAAGAGTCCCAAAGGGTGTGTGGGATGCTCTGCAGGAACGAAGTTACACTCACATGCCTGGGTGACAGCCAGACTCCACCTGGGTTTCCAAGAAGGTTGTGTTCATTCTGTTATCGGGCCATGTCTCCTTCCCTTAGGCTTCATGTGTAATGAATCACCGGAATTTGACCCCAAGGCACTTAAACACATCCCCACCAAGGCCCAGGATGTCACCAACAGTCAATCAGGCTCCCTGACAAAAATTAACTATTAACTAAAATCCCCCTAAAAGCAAAGGAAGCCTAGAGAGCTAATGATTTGACCGAGCATTAAGATGTTTCCAGAGGGACTGGAGGTATACTTTGGTAGAGGATCGAACATGAAAGGCTACAGATCGAATCCCCAGTAGAGAAAGAAACAAGGTAAGCTTCTGCCCATCACCTGATCTCATCTACTTCATGAACTTTCTCCCTACAGTTTTAAAGACATGAGAGGTTTCCAATAAAAGCTTTGGTCTAGGTTTGTAATGATCTCCCCCCTCCCCCAGCACCATGTAGAACTTGTCTGTTCCCAGATACAAAAGTGAAACCTGTTCTGAAACTCCTGCCTGCTATCAGGCTGCAGTGTGATAAGAACACGCGGCTAAAGTACCAAGACTGTGTCACCAGTGTTCCCACGAGCCTTCTGTAAAACTTACTTCTTTTTTTTTTTTCACACTGGAAAAATCACCCATCCTTGAGCAAGCAACATTCACACTAGGGGAAAACTGCCTGTGTCTGGCTGGGCAACCTTTCGGTATGACCACAGTAGGTGGGAGGGTTCCTAGTTTCCCCAACAGTTCTAATAACAGAATACTGGCTACATGCATAGCTTTGTCCTCCCTACAGACAGACTGGTCCTTAGTTTCAGAAGAGGAACCAATAATCACTGAAGTGCTCTTGAGATCCAGTTAGTTGCACATTACCGTCTTCTATGGAGGTAGGCACATGGACCTGGAAGCCTGCTTGCCCCCGAGTCTTTAGAATTATTTCACTGGCCTCCTGATGAAATACAGACATGGCCAATCATGTCAACTCGCAGCAGACAGCAAACAGCTCCCATTAACACTCTAGCCCAGCCTTCTAACCAGGGGTACACAACCCTTGTCCACACTTACCTCTTACCTTGTTGCTCTTCCCATAGAATCCTGGCTTTTCAAAACTGCCACAAGTTTAGCCTGTTCCCAAGATCCAGAACATAGATGTATATTCAGTGAACCCAAGAGAAAGGTTTATTATTCCACTCCTGTCCCCACAAACTCCTTGATGACAGTGCAGACCTACATGTGTAACTGCAACAAAATAACTATAACCCTTTCCTAAGATGATTTTGATGACATCAGACTAGCACCAAGTACACAAACACAAAAGATGCCAAAGAATCTCAATAGTTTACCTCTCCCACAAGTTCTCTTTAAAAACAAGAGAATTAGAATCAATGCTGCCACCTAGTGGCCAGCCAGATAAATCCAGTAGCAGAGAAGCTAAAGAGGCACAGTGGTTAGTAAGCGGTTTCCTGGCCCGGTGACATCTTCCTACCACACTGGGTGCAATGCCTTCAGTCTTGGGATACAGAAGCCTCCAGCTGGCCTGCAACACAGATCCCCCCCCATACACTGTTCTCCGCCCATTTTAAGGTCCTCAGTTGCTTAGTCCTATAGCCAAGTAGAGATGACACAAAAGGCCAAGAGCTCATCCACAATCTTCTTCTGTTCAGAGTGTATACACAGTAATTTTGATGTCTGTTGCCTCAAACACCTCTTCAATAATGGCAGACACATTTTCCCACTGCAGGCGGTCCAGACCACATCCAATCCTGAAAACAGAAGAAAACATCTCATCTTTCCCTGGCTTTTTGGTGAAGACCAACTGTGAAAAAACAAACCCCTTGTGCTGGTTATGATAGAAGTATTTAGGAGACTGTGCCTCCTCCCTCGTCCTCTGGACTCTATCCAAAGCACATTTCTCTGGGCTCATACCTACAGGCAGCCACAATGAAGAATCTATAGTTGAGTGAAGTCTCTGGGGACAGTTCTTAAGTGGCTGTCATAACTCCACTTTCCAAATATTTATTACTCTTTAATATCATTTCATTTATTTCACATAATCTAATATTATCTCTATTATTTCATTCTGACACGAGGCACTAGCCTAGTTACCCTCTTTTGATAAAGACCAATTTCAGTAGATGGGGCAATGTACCTGCATTTAAAACACACAATAATGGAGTGTTAAGGAGGATGCAAGGGAATGGGAAACCTTTGCAAAAGGAAGGAAAAAATGGAATGCCCAGAGATGCTGGCTGTGGCCAAAGTGAGGTCTTTGCAGCCTACTGGTCAACCTGTAAAGCTCCACCACCTGACTCTTTTCTTTTAATATGACACTGTACTGAGTCTCAACAGCCCTAGGGACAAAGGGCCCTAGGGACAAAGGGGAAGCTTTAAACTGCCAATTTCACCCGAAAGCAAGACAATCAACCTCCTCAAGAATAGATACCAAAAAAAAAAAAAAAAAAACTTTCTGACACATGAGTACATGAGTATATTAAACAAAAAAAAAAAAAAAAAAAACAAACAAACAAAAAAAAAAGATGATGGGCTAGAATGGCTCATTAGTTAAGAGCACTGGCTACTCTTCCAAAGGACCTAGGTTTCAATTCCCAGCATCCACATGGCAGCTCACAGCTGTCTGTAACTCCAGTTCCAGGGGACCTGACACCCTCACACAGACATGCATGCAGGTAAAACACCAATGCACACTAGAAAAAAAAAAGGTCCTGGGGTCACACACAAAGTCACTTGAGCTCGGCCAGCATTGACTGAAGGTACTAGGGTATTACAAAGAGGAGGGGTATGGACCAGTTCCCGAGGAAGCAAAGGGTCACTCAACACCCAATGTCATTGACGTCCTCAAAGGGACATGAGGGCCAGGTTCTGACGGCTGTCTATTGGAAGAACAAGCATGCGTGCAGCAGAAAAGGCAGAGGTCACTGACACCTTTCCGGGCGGAAGTAGCCTTAAAGGAGCTGCAGCTGCTCAGTCTCTGCGCTGCAATCCCGCCGCTTCAGCAGCAGGGGCCAGCACTTCAACACAACTCTAGAACTCAACAGATGCGCGTCGCAACACCAATGAGTCCGGGCGAGGCAGGCGTGTGCCTCCCACCACTTGCCCCGATTCTTGACCTCAAGCTAGGAAACAGCTATGCTATGGCCTCACAGCCACTTGGTAGGGAGCTCTGAAGAGCAGGGTATGTCCACCTTTACGTTTATCCTTTCAGCGTGGCCTGGAAGTCGGAGATTAAACCTCACCAATCAATCTTCGGTTAGGACCCCGGATCTCCTTGCCTGGGCATGGAGAGGTCAGTGACTCCATTCTTCAAACAATGGGACTTCATAGCCTCTAAGCTCTGCCGCAGGTTCTCATATGTTGGCTTGTGTGACGCCCGTTTCTTTGTAATCTGAACACAAAAAGAAAGGATTCAAACCCTCATTCGCCCCTCCTCCCAAAAAAGGAATTGGTGAGGGAGCTGACCGATTCCTCTACATCCTATGAAGATACTTTTTAAAACTAGATTAATTCACTGAATTTGTCTAGAGCAGACAATGTCCTGCAGTCACAGGAAAATCCACCAATGACTGAGAAACAGGCTCTGCCCTGTAACAAGGAAACCCACCGCACGGGAAAGCTGTGTCTAGTGCCATGCTTAAGCAAGGTGGTGAAATCTGTGCAGATAAGTGGCATTCTTGTGTCAAGGTGCCCATACTGCCTGAGCGGCCCCCAAGGTCTGTTCCCCACAAAGGAAGCAGTAAGAGGTAGTTCTTCTAACGGACACTCATTCCAGGCTTATAGGACAGCTCACAGGGTAGTGATCTCCCAACTCTGTTTGCTGACCAGAAAAGGTTTGCTATGGGTCCGGTTCTAAATCACCCCCAACTGGCTGTAAAGAAGCCACACCTCTTCTGGGGCCAAAGATGGCACGGAAGGTAAAGAATCCCACATTCCCACAGCAGCCAGGAGAGGGGCAGGACATTCTGTGGCTCTGCATGTAACAGGGAAGATTAGAGCCAAAAGGGTTCCTTTCACGTGACTATGAAAGGGCAGCGGGTCTCCCTAAGGCCTGCCACTCTTGGGCCACAGGCCTAGGGTGGACGGCACAGGAGTCTAACCATGGAGGAGTCTCACCATGGAGCTGTGGAGCAGCTTCGTATGCCACCTCAGTGCTCCAAGCAGCCTGCCCCTCTGGAGCTGAGTGCTGTCCAATTGAAAGCTGTTCAGCATCCTTTGCTGTCTAGGATTAAGTACTGACTGACAAAGGGAATCTATACGGTGTGAAGATTTCGCCCCATCTTACCAAGTAATATATATATCGTCCATCTCTCTTCAGAACGGCCACTTCTCCAGACTTCTTTTCTAAGAAGTTATTTAACAGTTAAAAAGGAAAAAGAAAACGGTAACATCCGTCGCCACACTAATGATAAGAAAGTTCTTAGACCTGGCTGTACCTAGCCCAGTTTCAAATGCACTGGCATCTGCCCACTCAAAAAACAGTGACGTTAACTGTCTTGGAACTGTCCCAGAATATGCCACTTCAAAATCTGTCAAACATGTCCATTCAACAAGATCTGTGTGTGTGTGTGTGTGTGTGTGTGTGTGTGTGCGTGCGCGCGCGCGCGTGCGTGCGCATGCATGCACAAGTACAGCCACAGACATCAGACCCCCCTTGAGCCAGACTTACAGGCAATTGTAAGATAGCAATGTGGAGGTTAAGAATAAAGTTCAGGTCTTCTTCCAAAGCAATATATACTGTTAATCAGAGTCATCTCTCCAGCACCCCACCCCGCCTCACACCATATTATATATATATTTCAATCTCTCTCTCTCTGAGTCATGCCTCTCACTGAAACTGGAGCTCCCTGAGTCAGCTAGACTCACTGGCCAGTGAGCCCCAGAGATCCACCTACCTCCACCTCCCCAGGGAGGAGCAAATGAGTCTGTACTTAGCTTTACATACTAAAGCACAGGAATGAAACTCACATCCTCAGGCTTGTTCATCAAGCACTTTTCGAGACTGAACCATGTCCCCACCCCAACAATCAGTGACCTTTCACAGCACTGTATTAAGCATTATGAGGGACGTCCCCCCACCCCCACCTTGGGCTTCTCTGTGTAACAGCCCTGGCTGCCCTGGAACTTGCTTCGTAGACCAGGCTGGCCTCAAATTCACAGAGACCCACCTGCTCAACCATGAGAAACATTTCTTAAGGTCCGCAGTTACTATCTTTGGATAGAAGCAGAAGTAGCTGTTCTAAAGAGGGATGGGCCTGAGAAATTTCAGAGGCTCCAGATGTACTGTACTGCAGAGCTCTGATTTAAAGTCACTGGTAGCGGGGTGGAGAGGTCTGTAAAGAAGCGGTTTCCAAACTAGTCTCCACTGGTCTAAGTGCATAGCCCTGGTTGGCTTGGACTCCCCATGTAGACCAGGCTGGCCTGGAGCTCACAGTGATCCACCCCCTACTCTATATCCTGATCACTGAGATTAAAGGTGTCTGATAGCACTTCCAGCACAAGCCACTTTTTGAAGAATAAGTTGAGAAAGTAGTGGCTCATGCCTGTCAATGTCAGCATTCAGGAGCCTGAGGCAGGAGGACTGCTTGGAGTTCAAGACAAGCTTGGGTTACTCAGCAAGTGCCAGGCCAGCCTGGGCTACACAATAAGACTTTGCCTCAGGGAAAGGACAAACAGAATAATGGGGTGATATCTTTCTTACACAAATAAAGCCTGTCTGGGGGTTCAGAGAATGGAGCTTGCCACTAGCTAACTATAGAGATCTGGAGGTCTGGACAGATAGGAAGTGACCCGGGACCTGATGCTCATGCTAAATGGGCAAGCTCTGTGCTCAAAGACAGATAGTGTCAGCCTCTGGCCTATACACATGTATCTGCACACTATGACCTCTCTCTCTCTCTCTCTCTCACACACACACACACACACACACACACACACACACACACGGAAGATTGGAAACTTTGACAAGAACTCTGATTTGGTGTGGTAATGATCTAAACCAGACAGCGGTCATTCTTGTGAGAAAATTGAAATGAACTGAAAAGTTAAAAGCAGTTACAAATCTCTTTGAAGACCAAATCATGCTTCAGACAGAATGAAGCAGGCTAGGATCAACTGTCAAAACTCACGTTGATTCAACAGTTCCTGCACCCCTCCAAATTTCTTCTTGAAGAGAACAGCTATCCCAGCACCCATTCGGCAATCCTCACTGATACAGTGGGCTAAAGAGTCTGTTTTGGGACATGCGAAAAGATCTCCTTTCACATAAGTGATCTAAAATGTGCAAAGGGAAAGAAAAAGCCTGTTAAAAACAGAAAAAGATTACTCCTTTCAGATCTTCAAGAGAGCCCCCAACCTCTTCCCTGCCTCTCCATTGCCCTGAATTAAAGCCAAACCTTCCCGTCTTACAGAATTAACCACCATATATTTAAGTATCTGTAAAAGGAAAGTGATGAATGAGCTCTGCCTAGAATTGTATTAGCCTTTCCTAAGTAAACCAGCTAGAGAAAAACAAACGCGCTGGGGGAGGGGTGGCAATCCAATTATTGGTTTAATTAGAAAGTGTTTATGTTTTTGACCTCAATTATTCTGAATTTCACTTCACCGAGAAATTTGAGAGCTGTCACGTACTCGACTTCCTTCTGGATCTTCACTAACGCGGCTGGCCATGGTACTGAGTCGCTATTTCCAGAATTAAGAGTTTCTTCTGCTAATGAAAAGGAAAAGCAAGTGAAAACGCCCAGGCAGTCTGAACGTAGCATGTTCGGGCCACCCTGACAACCCACGCTTTCCCCACGTCCTCTACTTGTATCTCTGAATGTGAATTCACTCAGCCTTCAACAGGCAACACAAAACAGCCTTCCAGGAGCGGAAGCTAAGGCGGTCCCAAGACACGCCTCCTTACTTCACACAGTCTTCCTAGCAGGATAGATTGGAGGACAGTGTGGCGTTTTCCCAGAGGACTTATGGCTTAGAAGTCCCGAAGCGCTGTAACCAGAGTGGACCGAACTGAGGTGTGCTGCGCGCGGGCGGAGACAAGAGCGTCTTAGGGGAAGATCACCATCACTCCTAGAGGCGCAGGAAGTCTAAAGAAAGCGTCCCATTTTCTCCTCCTAGCCTAAGGAGGGTCAACCCTGGGATCCCATAGGAGTGTGTGCGCGGGTCATCCTTCACCTGCAAAGGAATCGGCCGTCAGCAGGCCCTCCTCCAAGCAGGGAAAGGTTTGAGATGAAACCCTGGCAGGCAGGAAGCCACAGAAGAGCCCCGGCGCGGAACCAATCCCGCCAAAGCCTTTGACTGCACGCTCCCAAGATGGCGGCCCCCACCGCTTACCGGGGCGGAAGTGAGCCTCTCTGGCCAGCCAGCTGAGCCCGCTCTCGATGGTAAAAGCTTCAGAATTTCCGGCGGCAAACTCCGTAGTCTCCCGCCGCCGCTCACACATGCGTACAAGGACGCCGACCCCGCCTTGAGAAGAGGAGCGCTTGCGCATTTGGCCCCAGGGGGGGTGTGTCCCGGGGCCGCTCAGAAACCGGCGGACAGTTGGAAAAAAAAAAAAAAAAAAAAAAAAAGGGAGAGTTAGCGCCTGCGTAGTACATCACTCAGTATGGCGCCTGGAGAAGGCGCCTGCGTAGTCCTCCGGCGGAAGGCGGGGTCAAATCCAGGAAGTGGGTGTGGCCCCCGGGACGCCTGCGCAGTGCTCCCCGGGGGGGCGGGGCCAGGCTGGCCGGGGTTATGGGGCGTGGTCTCGAAGGCGCCTGCGCGAAGGCGGTTGGAGGGAGGCCCGATTCCTCTTTGTTCAGATTCGCCATTTTGCGAGGCAGCGGCAGTGGCGGCGGCGGCGGCGGCTGGAGCCTCTGATTGGGTTTCGGGGTCCGGTACTGGAGCCAATCAGCGCGGGCAGCGAACCGGGGGAGCGAGGCACGGTGAGTATGAGGAGCCAATATCCAGCGGCCCAGAGCCGGCCCCAGCGCCCCGATTGGCGGGTCTCGCTGACCACTCAGGAGAGGCCCAGGCGTCCGTCGAGCCCGGGAGTCGGGCCGAGGCTGCCGGAGCCGGGGAGCCGGCTGCCCCGGCTCGGAGCCTGTGGAGGCCTGCAGGGGTCGTCGCAGCGTGGGGATGGCGCCCTGGAGCCAGGCTCCGCGGGGTCCTGATCCTGTCCGGGTGCGGATGGCGGATGCACCGCTGCTCCCCGATCCCTGGGTCCCCGGAGGGCAGGTGGCCGACCGGCCCGTTAGGGACCGTGGCGGTTTCACCGCGTCGTTCCGGCCTCACCCTCCGACCTGCCCTTGCGTCCCCACGTTCCGGGCCCCCGGGAGGCCCGTTCCTCTGAGCCTTGAGGCAGTTGGGCCGGCAGATTTGAAGCGAGGCCAGGCGGGGACGCGCTGCGCGGCCTCTGAGACCCACCCCGGGGCCGTTAGCGCGCCCGCCGCGCCCCTCCTCCCGGCCCGCCACCCCGGGCTCCATCCCGCCGCCGTTACCACCCCTTTCTGGCTCGTCATTTCCTCTCCTCCCGCCCCGCTCGGCCGCTGGTGCCGGCTCACCTCGGTGCTGGAGCCTAACCAAGCGCTCTTCCTCGTTTTGCTCGGTCTTTGGAACCTCGCCCTGTGCGAGACTGATAACCTCGTGCATTGTTAATGACCTGGGGACACATTTCAGTTACTGCTATCCGCGTCTCCTCCTGCGAGCCTTCTGCCTTGGATGCGCTCCGATTCTGTTTTCCTTTAACCTTTTGTGTCAGTGTCGGGCTCCACTCAGCTCAGCCCACTGCTGTCTATTTTCTCTGATATATTTCCAAATTCCGTGTGAACGTTTTCTCAACAGATGTTTAAAAACTTAACATTCTGAGTTCTTTTCCTGCGGGCCGAGGAAGCCTTCCTTCCATGCGCCGCTAGCTGCTAGTCTTTGGCGGGCATCACCAAGTGCTGCTAGGGGGGAGGGGAGAGGTTGAGAACCACGCCTGTTCGGTGGAGATGGGCTGGTGAAAATCAATACCGGGGGTTAGTGTTATGTAGGGGTCTAGTGCAATACCGGGAAGTGCCAGCCAGTTTTCATCGGCACACTTCTGATTGGAGGGTAATGTCCTCGGAGAGGAGAGCGCGCGTAGGCTGCAGATAGACAGTGCTGCTGGACTCAGCGACGGCCAGGAGTACTGAACGTTTAGGCGGGAAAGTCCAGATTGTGAAACCTTTGCAGATCTCACAAAGGAATTTGACTGGAGCTTAAAAGTGATGTAGAGTGGATTTTTCTCCCTAATGTCGAATATAAAAGAAGAAATTGTTGACCTAAGGACCTAACTGAGTTTTTTTTGGGTTTTTTGTTTGCTTGTTTTCTTTGCTTTTTTTTTTTTTTTTTTTCCTTAAGAAGAAAAGGATTTTTTTTTTTTTTCCTTAAGAAGAAAAGGATTTTTTTTTTTTTTTTTTTTTTGTCCTCCGGGCGGGGGACATTGTTTTTACTCAGGCCAGTCGAGTATCAGTTGTCATCATTTGATGGGAGCCCACTTTCTGGGTGTGGGGCTGTGGTTTCTTTAGTCGCACTTATTGAAAACTTAACTGGTGAGTTTGAGAAAACTAATCCAGTGCTCTTTCTGAGCCAAAACAGCTTATATTCACATTTTAGGAAGAGTTTTTCCTTTGTTAAATTGTTAATTCCCTGTTGCCCTAATTCGCTTTTTTTTTTTTTTTTTTTTTTTTTTTTAATTGCTGTGATAAGCACCACATGAAAAGCAGCTTGGGGAAGTTTATTTCAAGTCAAGTCAAGAATGCAAGCAGAGGCTATGGGGTGTTGTTTACTGCCACGCTCCTCACGGCTTGGACAGCTTTTAAGTTCAGGACACCTCCCCAGAGGTGGCACATCCAAGGGGCTTGGATGTTCATCAAAAAAATGCCACACGTGTTTGAAGGAGACATTTCTCAGTTGTTTCCTCATCCCCACGACCCTAGCTTGTCAAGTCAAGAAGTAACTAACCAGCACACCTTATTTCTTAGTTTTGCAATAGAAAATGGGTCTGCATTAGCACGGCTTCAGTCTTTATTTTTAAAGATAGAGTTGTCTTTGGACTCTGTGTTCTGACCTTAGTATTTTTAAATTGGATGCGTAGTTATACCCTCTGCCCAGGCGTGTGGAGCCTCCACTCCTTCATCTGCCTCTGCATTTAAGAAAAAGCAGTGCAGACTCACTTTCTCTAGACCCTGCCTGAGATTTGCCCTTGGAGTACTGCAGCCTAGGCTGCCATCGCCTAGCTGAGATCTCACATGTCACTTAATTCACATGACACCTCCTGACATTTTCCTTGATTTAGTCCCAGCTGGAGAATCATCTGTCCTCCAAAATTCCTGTTTACTTTGTTTTCCTCTTAGGACACTAATATACATTTTTGTTCCTTTTTGGACTTGAAAGCCACTTTAAAGTTAGAGGCTTCTATTATTTAAGTTAGAGGAAAGGGGCAGATTTGGGGCCTTCAAAGATCCTAGTCTGATGTTGGCTTGGGGTTGTCAAATCTGATGGCCTCCATTGCTATTATGCTCACTGTGGTTGCATTTCTGAACATTTCAGCTTTCCAGTAACTTCAGATAGACTACCTTTCTAAGCACTGCCCCACTGTTCCTGTGCCTTCTAAATGGGCAGGGAATGCTATGGAAAGACAGCTTCTGAGACCAGAATAAATCCATTCTCATTCATATTCATTTCAAGTCTCACTTCCAAAAACACATTCAAAATTTCGGGGAAGAGCCAGACAGTCTTAAATCCAGCTGGCTCAATTTTGTCATAATCTTGGGAGATTGAGAGTGTGTCTGATTGTGTAGAGGTTCTGGTGCCTGAAGTTGACAGAAGCAGGCACCTTGAGCAGCCCGAATGTCATGCTCCAAGCTCCATGGTTCCCTTGTTAATGCAGACTGGCTGCTGTACCCTCTAAAGTACAGTGGGTGCCAGTGGCCTGAGAGGGAAGCGTTTGTGTCAGCAGGGTTAACTAGTGACATCTAAACGCTGCCTGTTAACCATCCGTGCCCCCTTTGAGCTCCAAGGAGAAAGCCTTATAGGAAGGAGACTTGGGGCTAGTGAACGTATTGCAATACAGAGAATGTTAATCTCTATTTTTCACATCAAAGTGTAATCACTGTAAGGTTTTTTGGTGAGTTTTTAAACCTCTCTGTACTTGTACAGTCCCTACTTCAGGAAAATAATGAGAACTTTTGTTGCCCCCAGAAGGTTTACAGCTTGTCCAGCCAGTCTCTCTCCCTCTCTTTCTCAGGCCCAAGGAACTCTGATCTTCCTCCTCTGTCTAGGCTACTGTCATAAAAGTTTTATATAAATGGTGCCATTTATATAAATATATATATATTAAATTAAATAAATATATATTGTTTGTATCGTAGCCTTAATTTCATTAAAGACAGATACATTGTTAGACACAAGGTAAAATCTGGAAACATTGGGCTTGCTGTGGTGGTGCATGTCTTTAATCCCAGCACCCAGAAGACAGGCAGGTTTGAGGCCAGCCCATAGAGAGGGTTCCAGGACAACCAGGGGTATACAAAGAAACCCTGTCCATACACACACACAAAGGGAAAGCATTGGTTTCCCTAGTAGAGCTACGAAGTTTGGCTGATTTCCATAAGAATCAACTCACTCAACTGGCTCAGAAAAGGCTGGTATAAAAATCTGTAGATTTAGCCAGCTTTTCATCTGATGGGATTAATATCCAGAATATAGAAAGAACTCAAATTAAAAACCAAAATAACCTAAGCAATAAGTAGTTCCCAAAAGCTTACAAATGGCCTGTAGGTGTATAAAAATACCACACTGAACCAGCAGGAAAGTGCAAGTCAAAACTATACTGAAATTCTCACTCCAGTCAGAATAGCTGTTGTTAAAGCAATAGAGAATGGCGGTGTGCACCTTTAAACACAGCACTCGGGGGCAGAGGCTGGCAGAAGCCAGCCTGGTCTGTAAAGTGAATTCCAGGACAGCTGTTACACAGAGAAACCCTGTGCTGAAAAACCAGGAAAAAAAATAAGAATGCAATTGAAGATAGGATATAAACTAGTTCATCCACTATAGAGAATATATGGAAATTGGTGCATCATGTGTTAGGGTTCTCAGAAATAGAACTGAGAGACTGCATGTGTGTTTAGGTGATTTACAGGCATGGTCCAACAATGGCTGTCTATATCAACAGAAAGTCCAGGAATCCAGTCGTTGTTCAGTCCTTGAGGCTAGATGTCACAGCTGGTCTTCATATACACAGAAGAAGTAGGCTCTGATGCCAGGGAAGGCATGAACTTACCAGCGAGGGCAAGCAGTCAAAGAGCAAAAGCTTCCTTCTTCCATGCCCTTTAGATAGGCTGCCAACAGACGGTGTGGCCCAGATTAAAGGTGGGTCTTCCCACTTAAAATGATTTAATTTAGAAAAATTCCTCACAGGTGTGCCCAGCTGCTTGGATTTAGTTAATACTAAGAATGGCTATCACATGTCTTAAATTCTAAAGATACTAAGAACAGAACTATGATCCTGCTGTACCACACTGCTGGGTACCCCTGAAGAAAGCAGAATCAATGTACACTTGATTGCAGTGCCTTCTCAATCACCGTGTTAGGGAGTATGTATGCTCAATGGAATATTATACATTAAGAACAGAATTACGTTATCTCTGGGGAAATGGATGGAACTGGAACATCACAGTAAGGGAAAGAAGGTATGTTCAGAATTACAAACACCAAGTATGTTCTCTGATGTGTACTCTAGATTAAGACAGGGACAAAAAAGGGGGGGGATTATTTGTAAAGTGAAAATCGGGGTTAGAGTGTTCCAGACGGGCTACACTTAGTATAAAAACCATCACTTTATACAGTGAACACATGCTATAAAGCAGTAATCACTCACTTAGGTTGCTAATAAAGTAGTGGTTAAATTTAATTATGTTGCCTTTCATGTTATCTTTACATTGTAAGCCCTCACTAAAGGCATAGTGGTCTGTTTTGGTTATGGATAATGAGCCTGATTATTATTTTACTCTTGGTGTTTTGAGACAGGGTTTCTCATGTAGTTCTGAAGTTTGTCCTGGAACTTGCTCTATAGAACTGATTGACCTTGAACTCACAGAGACCCAGCTACCTCTGCCCCCTGTGTGCTGAGACTAGAGGTGTGCACCACCCCTGCTCAGCTCCTGGTTATTATTTTTATTGACTATTTTCCCCAACATTTTAGTGTAGAAATTTCTAGACAGTGAAGTTGAAAGAGTGCCCATGTACCTGTAACATTAGCAGCTGCCGTATTAAACGCTGATTTATCTTCCCACCTGTTGTTTTGTTTGGTTTTTTTAAATCACGAGAGGAAAACACTTAAGATACAGACAGAAAAGAATGGCCTTCTATCCAAGTACTAAGGGCTGATTAGTCCCAGCCTTGGTTGGCTTGTGAGATCCGACAAAATCAGGTGTGTCCAGGATGGTATGCCAGGAAAAGGATAAGAATGGCATTGGAAATAGTCTTAAAAATTGGCAAGTGGAAGCCGGGTGGTGGTGGCAGCGCACGCCTTTAATTCTAGCACGCAGGAGGCAAAGGTGGGCGGATCTCTGTGAGTTTGAGGCCAGCCTGGTCTTCAAAGCTACACAGAGAAACCCTGTCTCAAAAAACAAAACAACAAATTGGCGGTCTGTGCTGCTTCTGCCAAGCCGTAGAGCCTATCAATGGATTGGCAGTTTGGTTCTGTTATTTAATTTTTGCAGTGCTGGGGTCTGGGGAGACAGCTCAGTTGGTAAAGTATTTGCCGCATGAGCACGAAGGCCTGAGTTTGATCCCAGGATGTTAGAACTCTGGGTGTGCTGGTGAGTGTACAAGATCAGAGCTGTGAAGGCAGGGACAGCACAACCCCTGGGGCTCTAGTTCAGCCTGATTGGTGAGCCCTGTACCAATGAGAGACCTTGCCTCAAATGAGAGCGGCCCTGCGGATGCTAAGGTATACTAGCAAAAATGTTTATTCTGCAGCCTGTTCACTTTGCTAAACCTTAATTTCACGAAACTCGAACTCTGTGTGAGTTCGAGGCCAGCCTGGTCTACAGAGCTAGTTCCAAGACAGGCTCCAAAGCTACACAGAGAAACTGTGCCTTGAAAAACAAAGTGGGAATTAAAGGCATATGTCACCACCACCCCAGAGAGGGCTGTTATTTTTAGACTTGACCCCAACATCCTTAGCCACTAGGGTAATGTAAATTAAAATTTACCCCATCCCTCCTCCTCACCCAAGTTGAAATGGCTCTCATGTAGAAGACAAAGACCTACAGATGCTGTGAGGACAGGGAAGGGTAGCCTTGTTTGTTTACACTGCTGGTTTGTGGAAATGAGTGTGGAGGTTTCTCAAGAAATGAACAAGAACTACCATGTGACCCATCTATAGACCTGTAGGCTTGAACCCAGGGGTTCTATGAGATATTTGCACATTCATATTGACTGCTGTTCTAGGCATAATAATAAGGAAATGGAACCAGCCTAGATATATGGATAATGAAAATATTATGCATGTGCAAAATGGAATTTTACACAGCCATAAAAAAATGGAATGAGCAGGAAAAGCAGATAAATCTGGGAAGCGTTGCGTGATGGCTATTCTTGGTTGTCAACTTGACTGTCTAGAATTAACTAAAACCCAGCAGGTTGGGTGTACCTGTGAGGAATTTTTCTTAATTGAATTATTTGAAGTGGGAAGACCCATCTTTCATCCAGATCTTTTGAGGTAGAAAGACCCACCTTTAATCTGGGCCACAGCTGCTGGTGGCAGCATATATAAAGGGCTTGCTTGCTCTTGCTCTTCACTGGATTAGAGCCTACTTCTTCAGGATTCCTGACCTACACTGAACACCAGCTGAGACAGCCAACTTCGAGCACTGAACAACTGCTGGGTGCTCAGGCTTTCTGTTGGTAAACAGTCATTGTTGGGCTAACTGGATCACAACTTGTAAGCCACTGGTGTAAACCTTCCATCCATATAAATATATGTATGGGTCCATTCTGTTCTCTTCTCCAGAGAGCCCTGACTAATTCATGTTACATTACACCAGATAAGTCAGACTAAAAAAAAAAACCACACCTCCCTCCTAGGCCATAGGCACCCTTGCCTGTGTAAGTATGGGTGGGTGGAGGTCTTTGTGGGCAGAGATCATATAACTAGAAAGGGCACAAAAGGTGTAGAAGAGGTGATAGGAAAGCATAGGAGATCAAGGAAGTTTTAAATGTCAGCGTGTGGGCACACTGAATATTGTTAGGTGCCTTTCCATTTCTAAGGAGCAGCTGAAGCAGTTGACCAAGAAAAGGTTCGTTGGGCGCACTGTTTAGGCTGTGCTGTAAAGTGAATGTGCAGAGAACAATGTGGAAAGTTAAAAAGCGGCTCACTGGTCGGTGGTGGCACTTGCGCCTTTAATCCCAGTACTCGTGAGGCAGAGGCAGGCGAATCTGAGTTATGCCAGCTTGGTCTACAAAGCTACACAGAGAAACCCTGCTTTGAAAAATAAAAACAACAAAAAAGAGAGGCTCAAGAGAGAAAGACCCCATGCAACAGAGTTCAAGCAGAGGGGTTTTTTTTTATTAAGGGGAAAGGATTGCAAAAAGGGGAGGGGGAGACTGGGGGACAGGAGCCCCGGGAAAGAGGAAGGGGCCGGGAGGTGGGCAGAGCCCTTTTGAAAGGGAACATAGTGAATAGACTCAGGCCGAGCTCTCAGTGGCAGCAGCTGAGGGCCTGGCGTGTTATAACTGCAAAGGCAGGCCAGTAAAATGCCTAAATACTAACAAATAACAGAGGATTTGATGCTAAAAGGTTTTAGACACCTGCTGTGTGTGAGTCGTGAACACCCACGTAAACAGGCTCTGCTGCGTGTCCTTGTACCATTTCTTTGTCTTAACTGTCCTGGACTACAACACAACTCCCAAAACTTGCTAGAGCTTTACTACTTGGTGCTATTTAATGGAGTTTGAAACAGGGTAGCTCTAGGTGGAACTCTCAGGAGACCATCTGTCCTGGGACTCAGACCTACCTGCTGTTTGTTTGTAGCCAAAGTCGCACTCCAGCTAAGTTTCCTGGGACTTATGTGTAACCCAGACTGGCCTGACACCAGTGGTCATTATCTTACCTCAGTGGAGATTTTGGCAAGCAAAATCTTTGAACTGTTTAGTAACAAACCTCCAACCCCAGGTGGCTTATGGCATACATAGCTCCAGAGAGTAGCATGTTTGAGTACAAGTGTGTGATACAAATTCTCTAAAATAGGCCTATGGCCTTGAGGCACAAGAGGTGACCAACAGTGCCTCAAACTGTTAATCTGGTAATACTGAGTGATCACTTTTATTAGTTTAACTGGATTGAGAAACAGCAAATTAGTCAGGCAAACCTGGGTATGTAAGGGTGTTGCTTACAAGGGATTGCATCCTGGGAGCTCTGGTTTGAATGGATTAATTCCTTGGTGCATTTATATGATGTCATTATTGGTAGTTGGGGCCTAGTTGGAAGAAGTGGGTTACTGAGGGGTGTGTCTGTTCTCGGGGACTGTTGTCTTATCCTGGCCTCTTGGAGTATTCTTTTCTATGTCCTGTCCACCATGGTGTGAAATGTACTTCTCAACCTCACACACCCACAGTGGATAAAATCCACTAAAAGTGAGCTAAAAGAAACAGTTCCTTTCTCTTGTTAGGTTCCTGATCACAACATCACAGATAGCTAATATACAAGGTAAGTTGCCAGGACAAAAATAAGTAGAAGCATTTTTAAATGTGCACATCCAATGCCATGTTTCTTGGTCTGTTGGTTAGTGTTTTTGAGGAAGGTTTGTATAGCCCAGGCTGTCTCAAACTCTGAGCCTCCTGCCTCAACTTCTCCAGTGCTGGGATTGTGGGCGTGCACTGCCGGTATGACTGTAACATTTTATGACTCTGCTATATAATCTTTAAAAAATATTGAATATATAAACATCTCCTTGGGTGTTTTTTTATTAATGTTGCAAATAGTTAGAAAATAAATTATTGTGTCTTAAAAGAGAGCCTTTACTGATTGACTCATTTTAGGTTTTTTCCTTCCCCTTCTCTTAGGAATCCCTACCTGGCAGCTGCTTGGGATCTATAGAGTGAAGCTTCAGAACTCTTAACGTGGCTGGGCCATGGAGCAGTATACCACAAACAGCAATAGTTCCACAGAGCAGATCGTGGTGCAGGCTGGCCAGATTCAGCAGCAGGTATGGGATCGAGTATACTTTGACCATCACAGTACCACAGCTGGTGATGTTGCAGGCTGTTTGGGGTTACTCAAGTAGAAGTTCTTGGGTCCTATCAGACCTAGGTCTCGTGATTGTACTGTGCTGGGATACAGTCTGTTGATCACTTTAAAAATAGGTTGGCCTTTGTAGCTTATTGAAATGGAAGTCTGCCTTTCTCTGGATTCAGTCTGTTTGTTCTCCTTCTTTTATGCTAACTTGTGATAAAATAAGGGTTTAGCCACAACAGACAGTAGTCAGAGCCACAACAGACAGTAGTCAGGGTTCAGGCAGTCTACTGGTCTGTTCTATACAGACCAGAGTTTATTCTGAAAAGTTGAATGTTAGAATAATACTTGGGTGCTGCTCTATGGATAAGTACATCCTGAAAAGGAGCTCTGTTGCCAGCTTCTTCCACAGTAAATCTGACCAGTTGTGTGAATTAGTACACGAGAACATTTGCCATGTTTTTACCTGGGTTTATAGTAGGGAACCTTCTCTTCCCCCATTCCTGAGCTTTGGGATAAAAGGCATTGTTTCTATTTGATGACAGGCCAGTACTATTGTCCTGGGTGTGTTTTCTCCTCAGAATAGAGGGAGGGTGAAGGAAGGGTTGATGTTGAGTTCCAACCCACTGGTGGGGGTGGGGGCTACTCTGAATGAAAGGGGGGGGTTAGCTGAGTGGTGGCTCCAGCCTTCCTAGTCTTCCTTATCCACACTCTGCTGTGCACTGGCAGCTTGTTGGTGTCTCTCTTTCTGGAAGGACTTCCCCAGGATAGGAAGTAATGCAGCTTCCTGAAGGCATTGCCTCTAAATCAGTCATTTGGATAGAAATGTCTTCATTGGGGACATAGAAGCTGTAGCCTCCTGAGACTGGAATTTGAAATGCCTTGACTACTTCCTTCTTCCTTGGTGATGCAGTTAAGCCCCAGAAACTCTTCACTGTAGCTTCAAGGCTTTAAAGCCTGATGGTTTTGTTCTTATGACAAGACAGTAAAGAAACGTAGGTATGAATGTATAGCACTGGGATAAAATTCCTATTTTTGGAAAGAAGGAAGGACTGTATTATAAATTTGTGTTTGAAGTCATAGAAGTATGATGTAAGGTGCTCTCTGGGTATGGATCTTGCCATATGACAGACAGCTTGAATATAGGCGTCCACCTTTGTAGGCTCCTGTGAGGGGTGAAGCTTTTCAGAGACACTCCGCCTCCCTCAAGTGATCTCAGATCTTGAGCTGTCCGTTTCCATCCTGATACAATCCGAGCTCTTCCTGTTCCTTCTCAGCAGCAGGGTGGTGTCACTGCTGTCCAGTTGCAGACTGAGGCCCAGGTGGCATCCGCCTCAGGCCAGCAAGTCCAGACCCTCCAGGTAGTGGTGCCCTCTCCGAGTCTGTGTGCATACCTGCATGAGCATCGCCTGTCCACTGCTGTTTGTGTTTGGGGCTCAAGTTGAATGGCAAAGTCGCATGCCTTTTGTGCTGCTAACCTGTCTCCAAGTCCAACATGCCAGTGTTCATGCTAAGACATTGATGCTGTATCTGTCTTCTGAGAAGTACATGCTGAGTGTGTTGCTTTAGAAATGCCAGGAAACAAGCAACAGGAAGACACTGTACAGGTGGCTTAGAGCATACTCAGATGCCCGTCCAGCCACTTGGTAAAGTTTTGTAAATTGTATTACACTGGAGAAGTGGGTGTGTACATGGATAGACTTGGCTGCACAGTGTTTGTTTTTGCTAAAAGTTCAACCTGGCTTCTAAACAGTCATTGCACTGAGCAAAGTTCATCTTAGGACTGAATAACTTTCCTGTCTCATTACGAGTTCTGCAGAGGTGATTGTATATCTCTTGGATGGGCATGTGTAAGTGCTAGCATAGGGCATGGTGGTGCGTGCCTCCTGTCCCGGCACTTGGGATGTGGAGCCAAGAGTATTGCTGGTTACAGTAATATGCTTTAAAAAAAAAAAAGAAAGAAAGAAAGAAAGAAAGCTGGAGTTAACCAGAGCTGTTCTTCACTATTGTGTATGGTCACTTTAAATATCCTAAGTTCCCTTGAAAAACAAGAGTAGCAGCATTGGTCTTTTCTGGGTCCATTGAGAACTAAAGATTTTGAGAAATTGTCGAGATTCAGATGCCTGCCCTCCCTGTCTTCCTCCACTGAATTGGAATGACTTAGCGGGGCTTCCAAAGTCAAACTGGCATCTCACTTTGTAGTTGGTGCTGCTGGGATCCTCTGGGAGATGATACCCCTTCCTGTAAGACAGCTCTTCTCAACTTCCTAATGCTGTGACCTTATACAGTTCCTCATTGCTAATTCATAACTGTAATCCTGCTACTGTTTTGAATCGTAAGTAAATATCTGTGTTTTCTGATGGTCTCAGGCAACCCCTATGAAAGGGTCATTTGATTCTTTTATGGGGGTCATGACCCTTTTAACCTGCCCTAAACCCACCACCTAGTAAAGTTTGGTGATGACATGTGGCCAGTCCCACACATAAATTAAGTTGGTTTTGTCTTCCTGCACAGTTGGCATCTCAGCAAGTGCAGCAGCTTTCTGTCCCTGCCTGCTTCATCTTTTTAATACGTGAGGTGGTGTCTGGGATTGTCATTAACCACTGTAGAATTCCCATTCTGTTAACTGTGTGGGTTCTGTCTCGTGCATGAGTCCTTATCATCTGTTGTAGACACAGTGAGCTCTTCAGAGTTTCACATCCTTTATCGCATGCATATGTGTATATATATACATACATGTATATATATATGAAATATATATATATAGTTAGTGTGGGGGGTGATGGATAACCAGAAAATTATCAAGTGTCTTAAATTTATGTTCACTCTAAGAATGTTTGCTATGCAAATGTAAAGACCTAACTTTGAGTCTGTAGAACCCACATAAATATGTGTATTTGCCCCTGTAGTCCCTACACTAGGGGCAGAAACAGACAGAACGTGGGGCAGGCGGACTAAATCAGGGAGCCGTGGTAGACTGCCTCACACACAGCAGCAATGTGGTGACCAGGAGGCGACATCCATTGTCAGCTTCTGGCCTCCCCTTTCACCCAGGGGAACTTGACAGCCTTACAGCACACAGTAACCACAGCTGTGCTAGCTTAACTACATCTAGACTGCATTGAAAAGAAATGGGAATTTCCTTCTACAAGTCTCATCATTTTAGGAGAATTTTAAATAGTTCTTTCTCTCCTTCTGTAGTAAGGCTTTTGATAATTTCCTAACACAGCATACAAAAATTGGTGTAGCAAAGGAGATTTAAATGGAGAGTGCAAGCAAATAAGCCATAAACTCTTTCAAAGTCGAGAGTTTCTCGGGAGAGCCCTGAGGTTGGGCTACTCCTAGTGGTTCTAATGGAGAGTGATAGTAGAGAGCCTCACCAGCTTCCTTATCTAGGATAAATTAATCAGTCATACAGTTGATCGATGCCGTTGGAGTAGACTGCTGCCAGAACTAAGAACACGTATTTTGGTGTCTTGTTACAAATAGTTTCTTCACGCAAAGTCTACAGTCAGTGGGTTTGTCCTGTTACTCTTCCATCCGCACTTCCAAAGCAGTTCTGCCCTGACCTCTGAAAGGCATTCTCCCTGAGTTTTCACATTGGGGTTCAAGATGACAGCATTGTAGCCACTTCTTTTCTAGAATAAAGACTTGAAGATTGGAAGTCATTTACATACAATAGCTGTCTGATTTCAGTGTTTCACTGCTTCTGATAATTAAAATAACTGAAAAGATGCAGTATGCAGAACTCTACTGTGATGGTCACAGGCTGACTGTAAGTGTTTCTGGAGAGTCTTGCTTTGATTTGATTTTGAGACAGGGTTTTATCAGGCTTACCTGGAGCTCACTGTGCATCTGTCCTCAAACCCATGCTTCTGCCTCAGCTTTCTGAGTGCTGGGATTACTGACCTGCCCAGTCCATGAGTCTTTAGGGCAGACTCCTTAAGCAGCAGTCAAGTGGAGGGGAATGTTCATGGTTCCCCTTTGCGTGAGGCCTAGGAAGAATGTTCAGGTGAGCTTTCGGAGCTCTTCCTATTAAGCCTCTAAAGTTAGGGCTGCCCTCTGATTCACTTCTTAGTTCCCCACCACCATCACCACCTCCCTTCATTGCTGCCTTTCCAGCCTTTGGCAGAAACCGTCCTTAGGTATCAGTGTGAGAAGGCAGTTTTCGTAACTTGACTTTCTCGGATTCGCCCTGTTTTTGCTGATAAATGCATTATTGAGATTTTCCAGATTCTAGATAAGTTCCATTATTTTTGACTTTTGAATATCCATCTTGGCACTTAACAATATCAGTTGTCTGAAGAACATAAGACTGACATTCTTGGAGCTTCAGAGATGACTCACTGGTTAAGAACACATTGCTACTGCAAAGGGTCGGAGTTTAGTTCCTAGCACCCATGTGTCAGTTCCGGAACTCAAGTTCCCAGGGATGTGACACCCCACTCTCTGCAGCATATGCATATAACCTACACACACACACACACACACACACTGGGAGGCATGTAAAAAGACTGACTTTGCCAGAATATCTGAGTTCAAGGCCAGCTGGCACTACATAGACTAGAATGACCCTGTCTGGGGGAAAGAGGAGGACTGACTTCCCTAAGTCTGCCTTGCCTCCTCCTGCCATCAGGAGGACAGTTCCAGTGACCAGTGAATGTCTTGGTGAAGCCACTTGTGTCTTACGCTGTTTCATTGTTGGTGTTTTATTTCATTCTAGGTCCAAGGGCAGCCATTAATGGTACAGGTCAGTGGAGGCCAGCTGATTACATCAACTGGCCAGCCCATCATGGTTCAGGCTGTGCCAGGTGGACAAGGCCAAACTATTATGCAAGTACCTGTGTCTGGAACACAAGGCTTACAGCAGGTGAGTAGTGGATTATTAAGAATTTAGATTATGTATCAGCAAAGTTTGGTATGACTGTGAGTTAAGTAGTACTCAAGAGTCCTTAAGAAAACTTGGGCAGTGTATACTTATTTAGCCTAACAGAAAGATCCCAGAATGTCTCTAAGACATGAGGCCATGTCCTGATTCCCTTCTCCTTCCCTTTTACCAGGAGTCAGTCAGCTGGGGAGCTGGAGGAACTTGAGGCTCTAGGCATGTCTTTCACGGACTCAGGCTAGAAGGTAGCTGGGAGGAATTAGCTGAAAGTAACCTCCCAGCTGATAGATGTGCGAAGCAAGGCTTGATTGAGAGGGTCAAGGAAGAGGCTAGACCATAACAGAGCTGGTAAGAAGGGAGATGGAGGTCTGCAGGTGGCCACGGGTAAGGACTTGGTGTAAGTAGCTGGGCCCCCTGGGTTTTAGGTTGAGGGTATTCTTGAGAATAAAGTACTAGAAATTTTGAGTTGTGGGGCCTCCCTAAATGTTTGCTCATTGGATCTTTAAAGGTTTGTATCCAGTGGTCAAGGAAATAGGGTTCTGTACATTGAGTAAAATGGTGGAAACTTTTCCCTTTTGTCAGTTACGAGATTTCAAAGAAAAACTTTTAAAACTTGGCAAGTTTCTGATGACACGTCTAACAAGGTTTGGATACCACACAGGATCTCCTGCTTTCCATACTTGCTCTGTGAGGTTTGACACTCCAAGAAGTGTGGAAGAGATAGATGGACATTATTGGCAATACTGAGTGGTGGTGAGGGATTTGGAACTGAATTAAGAGGAACATAACAATATGTCATATCCCTTTATCTATCTACTGCTGTGTAACACATTGGTTACAGCCAGAAGCATCCTGTATGAATTAACCTATGGTCTGGCTCACAGTTTAAGGCTACCAGTCCAGTATGGTAGGGAAGACATGGCGTGGCAGCAGGAACCTCAGTCAATCTAACCTAGAAATCCCTCAACAGACATGCCTAGTGCTTGTTTTCATGGGGATTCTTTAGCCAAACAAATTGATGATTGTGCATTTCAATTTCTTTGCCTCGAATCTTGACAGCTGATCTCTGTCTCTCTCAAGGACCTAATAAAAGTGTTGACCTTGGCTGACGTTAGCTTAACATTTGAATTGGAAAGAATATATTTTGAAAGCTGTTTTATTCATTTATAAAGCACACGAATATTTTTAAGCAAATGTACTTTAAAAAAAAACCATGCCAGCAATAATTGTCTATTTTTAATGAATGTATCGATTCTTTAATTGTTGATATCCCAAACAATATTATTATTAGATGGCTTGAAAAACTGAAACAAGCTTTTCAGTAATTGATAGCTGATATTAGAATAAGACTTCTGTCCTCTCTCAAAACATTTATTACTCTGTTGTAGTTTTGGGGACAGGGTCTCATGTACCCACACACTAGCCTCAAACTCACTGTTTCCCTAAGACTGGCCTTGTATACTGATCATATTGCCCCTGTATTTCCTAGAGGGATTTATTCAGCTAATTTGCAGAAACCAAAGGAGTGAGACTAGAGAGATGGCTCAGTGGTTAAGAACACTGACTATTCTCCCAGAGGACTCCGACTTGATTTCTAACACCCACATGGTGGCTCACAGCCTTCTGTAATTCCATTTCCAGAGGATCCAACTTCCTCTTCTGGCCTCTGGACACAAGGCGCACACACACATTGTGAATGCATACATGCAAAGCAAAACACCCATACACATAAAATAAAAAGCAGAAACAAAAACAAGGGAGCAAAGGGATTGTGTCAGTTTTGTGCCAACCTTTTTTTATACTCTCTTGCACAGATACAGTTAGTCCCCCCTGGTCAGATCCAGATCCAGGGTGGGCAGGCTGTGCAGCTGCAAGGCCAGCAGGGTCAGACCCAGCAGATCGTCATTCAGCAACCACAGACTGCAGTCACCGCCGGCCAGACTCAGGTGAGCCAGTCATTAAGCCATCTTAGAAGAGTGTGAATGCAGAGGAAAAGTATCAGATGGACTTGGGCTCTCTGTGGGCCTTTGGCCTTTGTTGAGTATGTCACTGTTTGTTTCTATAGACACAACAGCAAATTGCTGTCCAGGGACAGCAAGTGGCCCAGACTGCTGAAGGGCAAACTATCGTCTACCAGCCAGTTAATGCAGATGGCACAATCCTCCAGCAAGGTAAGCTACCGCTATTGCCCTGGGACTTGTCAGGGCATTAGTTTTAGCCTTTGAGTACTTGTGAGTGCTTCAGAGTTGTTGTAAAGTCCACGTCACATTTAAACAACAGGGTTCCCAGCAGATCTCCAGTGACTGTCAGTTCTTGTCAGCATATATGATCAACCCATTGCTACTTGTAAACTAGAATTCCTAGACTCTAGTTCTAGGCCTCTACATCTGTTTATATATAGTTGTTTACTTTAGAGTCTAAAGCACTTCTCAAAGAGCCTCCACCCAGCTAAGAAGATGTGGGCGCGTGCGCGCACACACACACACACACACACACACACACACACACACACACACACACACACACACACACCCTAGGAAGAGATGCATGAACACAGGAAACATGCTCAAAGTAGACTTAAATGCTTTCGAAGCTAACTAATTCCAGAAAGGCTGTCTGAGTCAGATTCCAAGATGGTTTGGTTCAGACCAAGATTTTGCAGTATGCTAGATGCAGAGAGCGCAGTGGATGTGTGTTCACACAGGAGAGCCAGGCTGGACAGAGCCTTGGCAAGGTCTCTTTCCATGTGACCGGTCTTCATGCTTCCTGCCGCAGATTGTTTCCACACAGAAAAGCAGCGGTGGCGGCTGCATTGCTGGAGGGGATGGTGCTGTAGTAGGAAGGCCTCCACATCATCATGCCTTTTTAATCCCATTGGTAGAGTCTGCAGTATGGTGGGTGGAAATAAGATGTATGCAGAATTGGGCCCTTAGCCCATTAACAGAAACTTCCAGAAAGGAACTTAGACAGACTGCACGGCAAATGGAGGGAAGGAGTAGGGGAGGGCATTTTCTTCCTTCCTGGTGCTTGCCGGGGCTTTTGTCTAGGTTACGGGAGCCAGGTGGAAGGGACTAACCATCTTCCCTTCTTTCTGTTCTGTGTGCCTGTTTTTTTGTTTTGTTTTCTTAAAGTTACAGTCCCTGTTTCAGGCATGATCACCATCCCAGCTGCCAGTTTGGCAGGAGCACAAATCGTTCAGACGGGCGCCAACACCAACACAACCAGCAGTGGCCAAGGGACTGTCACTGTGACACTGCCGGTGGCAGGCAATGTGGTCAACTCAGGAGGGATGGTCATGGTAAGGAAAGTGGCTTCCCCGTTTCTGCTGTTTGGCGCTAGAGCTTTCCACAAGCTCTCTATCTGAACTGCAAGTTGATGTTTCTTGTGAAGTTGGTTATGGTGTGAACTTCTTGGAGTTGAACTCCACCCCTCGGGCGCTAACAGGGGTCTCCACTCACAAGATGCATAATTAATTCACTCTGATGTCTACCAGTGTCTTAGACTATTCAAAACACTGGAGATAGATGGAAGATAGATGTGAATGTGCAATTTTATTTAGAATTTTCGTGCTGCTAATAAGGTCCGGTCTCCTGTTGATGCAGATGGTGCCAGGAGCTGGCTCTGTGCCTGCTATCCAAAGAATCCCTTTACCTGGAGCAGAGATGCTGGAAGAAGAGCCCCTGTATGTGAATGCCAAACAGTATCACCGCATCCTTAAGAGGAGACAAGCCAGGGCGAAGCTAGAGGCAGAAGGGAAAATTCCAAAGGAAAGAAGGGTGCGTGTGCCGTGGTGCAGGAAATAAATAGCACATTTGCTGTGCCTTGTGTGACAGTCTTGAAGCCGGGCAGTGGTGGCTCACACCTTTAATCCCACCACTCGAGGAGGCAGGGGCAGGCAGATTTCTGAGTTCAAGGCCAGCCTGCTCTACAAAATTACAGCTAGTTCCAAGACAACTAGGGCTGTTACACATAGAAACCCAATCGTGGTGTCGGAGGTCATCTACGATATGCTGTGTTTCCTTGTCCCTTCCAAACAATGCATGCAGGTTGCTATCAGAACAGTGACATTTCCCTCTTTCTCTTGAAAAGAAGTCCAATAGGGTGCTTGTACATCAGTGTGCAGGCATAATGGCTGTTGTGCTCTAGCAAAGGGTATAATAAGAAAGGGGCCCTTTCTTTTTAAAAGAGTTCATCCATCACATTAGCCACCATCCAGTGACCCAGTCTAACATACCTGCAGAAGTAGAAATGGTGTCTCCTCCTGACCTGCCATTTGTTCGACCAAAGCATGGTGGGTTGATGAAGCAGAGGAAGGTTTGATGCTCTCAGGACAGTAACTATGATCACGTTTCCCTCCTGTTTGTTTGTTTTTGAGGCAGAGTTTCTCTGTGTAGCCTTGGCTGTAGACCAGGCTGGCTGCAAACTCACAGAAATCTCTCTGCCTCCTGCCTGGTGGGATTTTTTTTTTTTTTTTTATGGTGGTTATGTGGCCACCAGCTGCCTTGCTCTTCAGGGCTTTCTCCATCTTCGTGTTCCTTTGATTGCCACTGTCTGAAACTTTCAACAATTGACTGTGCACTAGGTCATTTCTAGCTGGCTAGCTCTCACAGTTACGTGGTCTTATTTTCTTTCTTCAGAAATACCTCCACGAGTCTCGGCACCGACACGCCATGGCACGGAAGCGCGGTGAAGGGGGGCGGTTCTTCTCTCCAAAGGAGAAGGACAGTTCTCACATGCAGGTAGGGAGATGAAGTCCCTTTCTGAGCTGCCCGCCTTCTCTTTAGCAGCAGCCGGCCAGCCTCCGTTCAAGGAAATGTGTCCTCCACGGAGTGTTGTTGGTTAGCCGCTTCTTTTTAAAAGCACTGGAAGTTTTGGCCTTTGCCTTCTTATTTTTCTGAATTTTTTACTTTATCTTCCTCTCGATTCTTTTCCAAGGAAAAGTTGTATTTTATTTTAGCATGCTGTATTAGAAGTAGGTGACATTTAATATTATATGGCAGGTCTTGTATTAAGCACCCCAGTAAACTTTTAGTTGTTGTTATTTTACTAACTAGCAACTTCAGGTCCATGGGATACAAATGACTTCTCGTCACCATTTTTTACAGATGAATATGTGATATGAGTTTTTGAGAAATAAGTAACTCTATATGTATAAAGTTAATACTTATACGCTGAGCCTGCCGTGGTGGTGCAGACCTGTCAGCCCAGTTACTCGGGAAGCTGAGACAGGAAGATAGCAAGTAGAGGCCTGCCAGGGCTATTGAGTGAGTTAGAGACCAGCTAATTTTGTGAGACTTGGTCTCATAAAGGGCTAAGGGTGTATAAGCTAGCTCAGTAGTGGAGAGTGTTTGACTGGCATGCAAGAGGTTCAACCCTGTTTCCTCCACAAACAAACCCCTTGACTGAATTCATATCGAGGGAGTAGAATTCACTAATTACCTCTTGGTGTTTCTGAATCCATATGTCCAAAATGGAGTGGTTGGCTCGTTAGTCTATTACCCAAACCAGTGACTCATCCCAACAAGTGCCTTGTTACCACCCAGTTATTAAAGTTTGGATGGTTTGGATTCTGAAGTTTTTGGCTTTATCTCTGAAACATAATTTGAGACAGTTTGCTCCTCCCCTGCTAACTGATGTCAGCTTGGCCACGTCCTCTTTGGTTTGGATTAATTACTATGTCCGCTATCTTCCCCGCTCATCGTCTTCATGTTTCCACATCTTAGCGTGTCTTCTGGTGTCACCTCTTTAGCCTGCCTTTGCTTTTTCAGCCATCTTCTGCTGGATTTGTGATAAAATACCCCGAGTCCTGGCTGTGGCTAGTAAGCTTGTCTGCCTGTTTCTAGCTTCCTTTGTTCTTTTTTGTCTGCTGTTTACCCATATATCTGTTCTACCTGGTCCTTTGTCTTTGCAGTTTCCAGTCTGTAACGCTCTTTTCTGCATCTTTTTGCATGGGTATCTCTTCCTACTACATAGCCTAAGCTAGACTCAAATTTGCAATGTTCCTGTCCCAGTTTTCCAGGTGCTAGGATTGTGGGTATATGCCACCACGGGCAGTTTTTGTCTCCCCTTACTTTTAAGCCTGCTTAGCTCTGAAAGGCCTTTAGCCTGCTCTCATCTCTAGATAGAGCTCTTTTTACTCCTGTATTTTCCTGCAATTTCTTCCTTTTCTTTAAAATACAAAAATCATCAAGAGATTTCTCTTTTGTCCACACTGCTTCCTTTACTGGAATGTAAGTTATATCAAAGTAGGTTTTATTCTCTTGTGTTCCTTGGGTTTAGCTAAGGATCCAGTTCTGAACAAATACTCAGTAAATACTGGTTGAGTTAATGAATTCCTTTTGTTGGCTACTTCGCTAGCAGCAGCAGCAGCAGCATGGAATCGCTCTGTTCTCACAGTCTCTTTAGTTGACCACAGACAGTTCTGTATCAGATAGTGAAGGCTGTTGTAGTCCACTTAAGGCAGCCTGGGCTTCCTTGCATGTCCACAGGTGCGCACTTAACGGTTTCCTTCGGTCCTGGTGGTTTTCTCCTTCCGCGTGACAGCCCCTTTATTCTTGTTGCTATCTGTGAGTGCTCATTAGGAACTGCCAGCTGTAGGCCATTGCATTAAAGGATTTCCTTTTTCTCCAGGCTGACAGGAGGGTCTTAGTAAGTTTAGCCTCTTCAATGTATCTCTTCACACGTGGAGTAGAATGCTATTAGGATTCCATTATTTTGAGATCATCATATATAAAATAACGACACAAAAATACAGCATAGCATGCATGCTGCTTGCTCTGGGTCTTTGTCCTAGCCACCCAAGTACCTATACCGTTAGGGTAGCACAGGTCAGGGTGTTTATGAATGCAGTGCTTGGTGGGGAGTCAGGCCAGGCCGTAGTGCTTGTAGGGAATGGGTCTGCTGCCTCTTCTTTGCTGGTGGAGTTGTGTTTCATTGCAGAGGTTGAGATCAGTCTGGAGCTTCCCTTTACTTGAGTTGTGTGGGTTCCCTGGGGAAAGTTGTAAGAACCAGGAACTCCTGCTACTGATGTAAAGGACTATTGTGCTTTCTTTGTAGGATCCAAACCAAGCTGATGAAGAAGCCATGACACAGATTATCCGAGTTTCTTAACCACAGGGGGGCGGCAGAGCTGATCAGTCACATTCGTCTCCACTGTTTCCACTGTTCTTGGAAATGGACCGACTCTTCCAATGGGACGCTGACGACTGCACTCTGCCCTTTCTCAGGACAGAAACTGCTTAGCTCAGTATTACAGCTGCAGTGATGGCTGATGAACTGAAGTTGCAAGCCTTGTCTCACCCTTTCATTCAGGACCTGTTTCAGACTGTTGGTGACACTGACCTTTGTGAATTTGGATGATACAAGGAGGTATTTACTGGCCCAGCATTACATACACAAGCACTTACATTGAGTGGTATAAGGCCAGCTAGTCAGCCATCGCAGTAGGGGAGAGCAGCCATCTCATCCTGGTCTACAGTCAAGGCAGCCACAGCCCATGCCTTCCTGTGAAGTCTCACCAGCATCCATCCCCTGGGGGATGTCCACCTGGCGGATGCATGGGCACTTTGCACTCAGATGCCTCCCAAGCAAAGAAGCTTCGTACCACGGCATGGAGCAGTAGGCTGGGCTGCAGTCTTCTGATCCGTGTCATGAGAGCCTGTCCGCCCACATGCTAGGTTGGTGTGTTTTACTTCGGCCAAGAAAGTCCAAAGAGGATCTTTTGGACTCAGGATAAAAGGATAGGAGACCTTAAGGATCTAAAAGGTACATCGCTGAATCTTTCTAGCTCTGGCTGTGGTCTGCTCATCCCTGGTAACAGGCCATCTGGGCCGTCCGTCATTGGTACTGGGTCACTTTAACACTTTAAAGACAGTTTAGAGAGTAAGTGGACCTTGCAGCAGATTTCCCGGGAGAGAACAAAACTTCGCAACATCTGCGCTCAAGTATCGACGTTTACACTTGTTCCTCAACAGAGGCAAACCTAGGATTCTTAATCATGGGCTTTATGACAGCGAGTAGGGAACAAAAGGATCTTTGCATCTCAGTCCAGAGAGCAAGTGTCCTACCTGCCCGAGTGCTGCCAGAGCATGATTCTCCAGTGGCTGGGTACCAGGCATGGGTCTAACGCTGAAGACCGAATTACTCATAGAAACACTGACAACCTTCTGCCGTGCACTAAAAGGGAAGTTGGAGGTGTGCTTCTTACATTGTGTGAAAAAGCAGTTGGGGCCGCTGTCCTGGACACAGACTGGAGGAGAGACTGGGCTTCACCCCTGCCTCTTTGTGCTGGCCCAGAGGGTGAATGTTCTTCCCAAGGCAGCTGATTTCTTTGGTGCCAGTTTCCACTCATTTTCTCCTTTCTCTGTAGGGATCAACTACAGACCTGGAAGAAGATTCCTGCGGGGTCAGGAATTGGGCCATAGTTCCCAGGGTGAGCTGGGCCCTAGAAATCCGTTTTCTGGACAAGCACTCTACCACTGAGCCACACACACATAGCCCAGAATCTGCTGTGCATACTGAGGCCTGGAGGAGAAAGCCACAGTTGACTTTTCAGAAGGGTTGGCTGCCTGCTCTGCAATCAAAGTCAGATGCAGTCATTCCAAAGACTTTGGGGGTTGGTTAAAATACCAATCAAGTCTGAAGACATGCTTTGACTTTGTTCTGAGTTAAAGATGGGAAAGATTTTAACCTTATAAAAGAACATCACAGGGAGACCAGTTTAATCGGAGAAGCAGGAATTAAGCCATCGCTCCCTTCTCCCAGGAATCTTGCCATTTTCTCCTGGCTTCCAGATGTCAGAGGGGGCTAATCCTTTTTTAGTAAACTTACTAGAAACTTCCGGCTCTTCACACGAGCTTTCTGATATTACTGAAAACCGTGAGGAATTTCTACCTTTGTGGTAGTGAGGGGAAGGAAGAGTTGAGGGATTCCTCAGGCCTAATGTCTAATGCTTACGCCAGCAATTGTAGAATGCTATTTATTTGTGTCTGTAAGTTTTGTACATACCTTAACCTCATATTGTTGCTGAGTTTCATTTTGAGGAAGGCAAGTTTGAGTTTTAGTTCCTTTGAAACAGATGCTTGGGTTTCCCTTTTGTCGCTGCATTGCAGTAAGCTCCTAACCCTTTTGTTGTGGTCGTTCTACCTAACACAACGCAATAGCCCGTAGGGGTGGGGCCGAGTTTTTGATTTTGTTTGTTTCACTTAGTTCTTTTTGCTTGTTCTTGGAATTGTAGTGATGGCTTCAAAGACACAGAGTGGGTGGAGGAGTGGGCTGCTGGTCCACTGCATCTCTGTACTTCCTGAGCAGGACGACTAAATGTATATATTTTAATTGCACTGGTAATGGGACACGCCAGCCGCTAGACACTGCACCGATAGCTTCTCATGGCTACAGGGTGCCTGATAATAATGTCTTGATTTTCCTTTGGGACTCAACTATGTAGGTCTCCCCGCCAGCAAGGGGAGTACAGGTGATCGATCACTGATGTCATTGCAGTTCTTTTTTTTTTTTTTTTTTTTTTTTTTTTTAATAAATTTATAAAAACACTAAAAATATGTTTGACTTTGTTTTGTTTGGCTTTTGGGGTATTTGTTGTTTTGGTTTTTATTGTTGGGTGATACTTTTTGGTTTTTTGTTTTGAAATATAAATTGGCTATGTAGCCCAGGCTGGCCTCCACTCCCAGAATGGATGACATCTGAGGAATCAGCATACCCTGTGTCTGAAAAATTCATCATGTTTAAGTTGTGACTTTTAGACCTAAACATTATCAGGTGTCCGGCCTCTCATTATGGTCTCTTAATTGCCCCCACCCCCGGATCTCATAACCATTAGACGTCAATAAGTAAACCTCTGAGTAGTATTAGCCTTTCATCACCAGAACAGCGCTGATATGTGGGGCTGGGCAGCTATCTCCATCTGAGCCTGGGGGCCTCGTTTCAGCTCTAGGTACCACATGCCAGAGGCATGGTGGAGCTGAGCTTAATGTTGGCAATGAGGATGGCAAAGCAGGGCAATCCTGGGATTTGCTGAGCAGCCAGCCAGCAAACAGTCCTGAGGAATAATGCACTAAGGTTGGCCTGGCTTCTGTACACACAGACGCACTTGCAAAGCACACACAGCCCGTCAGTACTATCACTGCTTTATGATCTCCAGAAATCTGGAAACCAAGTCTAACTTCTCCATTTATCCCAGGAAGCTCTTGGAACCAGGATGGAGAAAAAAAAACAGACCCTGGGAACTCAGTGAGATGCAACAGGCCTGCCCTGCCAGAAACCAAGCCCTCCCACGTGAAAAAGGACTGGTAGTGTTGAACAGCTTTAGTCTAATTCTTACACTTTGCTTTTAGTCACCTGGGTGACGGTAGGACCTATCCTTAAGTTCTTAGGTGAAGCAAATTCTGTTCTCGTGACGGAGAAAAACACTGGTTCCCATCCTAGGTACCCTGCTTTATTCTAGCGCTATCCTTAGGTGTCACAGAGCCAGCATGGAAGCTATGCTCCTCCTGGGTGGCTTCTGGAAAGCCCATTAGGATTGCAAAGGCTATGGGAAACCCACTTACTCCCTGCTCCCTGACAGATAGGAAGATTCTATTTGGAGGATCCCTCTGGTTCCCTGTCTGGGACATGAGGATACAGCACCACATGTCTCTATAGTGGTCTGAAGAGTTCTTATCAGCCCTCCAGGTAAAGCTGGGGTTCCAGGCTTGGAAGAAAGGAATTTCAGAATGAGTCAATGACAGGGCATGTCCTCCTGTATATATGTTTCTCATTGGTTGATGAATAACACTGTTTGGCCCATAGCCAGGCAGGAAGCATAGGTGGGGTGATCAGACCAGGAGGATTCTGGGGAGACGAAGAGAGGCCATGAAGAGACTCCAAATGTAGAAACCCGGAAGGTAGGACGCACCAGGTGTTCTATGGTAAGATAAGGCCATATGGAAATAGGTAGATTAGCAGTTATGGGTTAATAATCGAGACAAGGCTAGCCAATAAGAAGCCCTAGCCATCGGCCAACAGTTTTATAATTAATACAGCATCCATGGGTTTATTTGGGGCAAGTGGGCTGCGGGGCCAGACTGGAAAGAAACTTCAGCAACAAGTCAAATATGAAGCATAGTGTGAAGGGAGCTCAGGCAACAGGAAAGTAGCTTTGTCAGAGCCCTGGGAGGTCTTGTGGCTCTCTGAGGCACATCTCTAAAGCTTGCTAAGAACACCCCTCTTTCTGTCACTGACCAGAGAGTGTAATTTGTTATGAGGCTAAAAGTAGCTCTCTCGTTAAGCAAAGCTCTTTTGGAGAGATGGCTCAGCAGTTGAGAGGTCTTGCTGCTCTTGCAGAGGACCTAAGTCAGCATGCAAGTTTGTGGCCTCATAACCCCCTGTAACTCCAGCTCCTGGGAATCTTACATCCTCTTGTGGCCTCTGCAGACATGCTCTCATGTACACAGAAACACACTCTTAAATAAAATTTTTAAATTCTGTGGGGCCTTGACTCCAAGATGACTAAGGGAAGAAGAAATAACAGTTGTACCAAAAAGGGGGGGGGGGTCCAGCCACGTAGCCATGCTGCATGAACTGTCTGAGGAAAAGGTCATTCAGAACATTGCAGAAGCCTCTGCCACCAGGGACAATGCTTTTGTTCTTCCCAAACTGTCAAGCTGCATTTCATGAGTGGTGCAATTCATACAGAGCAAGGTAGTCAGGAACCTGTCTGAAGCTTGGAAAGCTGGGCCACTGCCACAGAGCCATGTAAAGAGCTGGCTTCATAAGGACAGAAGAAAAAACATGAAGAATAAAGTGGAAGTTATACTTTAAGTATATAGAAAGCAAGATTCATACACAATTAAAAGTCCAGCAAGGTGTGTCACCCTGCCCACCACGGTCTCAGCCTCAGTGTCTCGGGCAAGGTCACTCAACAAATTAGAAATCTTCCTCCAGAAGAGAAGTCTCTCCCGTGGGTGTTCTCTTCTTAAGTTATTGTTCTTACGTTTCAAGGAGAACCAACATGATGCTGTGTCCCTCCAATGTGGCTTCTAGAAAGCCCGTGAGGGTTGGATTGGGTGTGGGAATCCCACCCACCCACTCCCTATGCAATTAAGGATTGTTCCAAAATCCGACTTAACATTTTCAGGAGCCAACTTTAGAATGTGATGCCTTCTCTAGCAGTAACAACATGTAGAAGAAGGACAGGTACAGACAGGGCTTGGTGAAATCACAATGCTTCCCAACAGCTGCGTCTGGGCCCTCAGGTGGGGTTACCTCAGCTCTTCCTGAGAGCCTTCCTCTGCTGCCCACCCCTCAGGGCCTTCCTCTGCTGCCCACCCCTCAGGGCCTTCCTCTGCTGCCCACCCCTCAGGGCCTTCCTCTGCTGCCCACCCCTCAGGGCCTTCCTCTGCTGCCCACCCCTCAGGGCCTTCCTCTGCTGCCCACCCCTCAGGGCCTTCCTCTGCTGCCCACCCCTCAGGGCCTTCCTCTGCTGCCCACCCCTCAGGGCCTTCCTCTGCTGCCCACCCCTCAGGGCCTTCCTCTGCTGCCCACCCCTCAGGGCCTTCCTCTGCTGCCCACCCCTCAGGGCCTTCCTCTGCTGCCCACCCCTCAGGGCCTTCCTCTGCTGCCCACGGACAGATGTCTGGGTGGTGAGAGGGAACAGAACTTTCTGCTTAGCCCTGTCTCCTCCTGCTTACAGAGCCTCTGTGATAAGGACAGGCTGAGCTCCAACTCAGCTCAGCTCCTGCTGGCACCAAGGTGATCCCAGCTGAGGGGCTACGAGTCAGGCGAAAAGACGCTCAGGGAGATGAGTGTGCTTTCCACTTAAACATTTAAGGTGGCTAACCTGCAGATTCTTCAAGACGATGACTTGGTGGGCTCCTCCGCCCCATGTGTGTATGCCTGTGTGTGCAGTCTCCCACTGACAGACTCCTGTGGCAGGAACCAATAAGCTTCCCTGTCTTTGCCAGGGATTACTCAGGCCCTGTGGATACCCCCAAACTATAGCCAATTCCGAGGGAGAATGGGAACTCATCCCACATGTAAACATAAGAGCCCCAACCTTCAGGAGGATTCAGACACTTGACCCCAGTTCCCTCTCTACTCCCCCCCACTCCCAGATCCTATATGGAGTGTGTGTGTGTGTGTCTCACTTTCAATAAAATCTGTCGGAGGTACTGAGACCTTGCTTTTCCCAAACGAGTGAAGGAAATTTGACCATATCACAGCCTCACAGTTCATTGCCAAAGTATGTCTAGAACCTTCTCCACATTCCTACCCACATCTGCAGCACTCATCTTATTCTCCCATCTCTGGGTCTGTTCCAACATGAACTGATCACCTTGGCCAAACAGTTGGCTGTTGTAGGATATTTGTACACTGTGAAGATGTATTGCTGCAATTGGTGTAATAAAAAGCTGAACGGCCATTAGCTAGGCAGGAGAGATAGGCAGGACTTTCCGGTGAGAGAAGACAAGGAAGAGACAGGTGGAGTCCCCAGCCAGAAACTGAGGAAGCAGGGTGGCAAGTCCAGAAAAAGGTAACTGAGCCACGTAAGAGAACACAGGTTAAGAGAAAAATATGGGTTAATTTAAGTTATAAGAACTAGTTAGAGCTGGGCAGTGGTGTCGGCGCACTTGGGAGGCTGAGACAGGAGGATCTCTATGAATTAGAAACCAACCTGGTCTATAGAGCAAGTTTTCCAGGACAGACTCCAAAGCTACAGAGAAACCATGTCTGGAAAAAAACAATTAAAAAAAAAAAAAAAAAAGCAACTAGTTAGACTAGTTAGGAACAAGCCTAAGCCCAGGCTGACCTTTATAATTAATAAGTCTCCATGTCATTTTTTGTGAGCTATAGTGGCCCAAAGAAAAAATCTGTCTGGATTGGCTAGGCAAGTCCTTCAGCTACTGAAAAGGAATTTCCTCTGGACCTGGTCTGGTGTCTTTTTTCAAACGTTTCTGAAAAAATTCAGTAACGCTGTTTCCTGAGCTAACCTAACACCGCCCCTCCTCTCCCACCCCTCCCCCATCTCCCATCCCCCCCCCCCGGGGGGGATGTGAAGCCTGGCCAAATTGTCTGGTTCTCTTTGGGCCATGGAGAACTACAATGACAGTAGGACCCAGCCTGGAGCTCTGCCTGTATTGCTGTAAGAACCCTCTTTCCCTTGCTGTCAGGTAACCAGAGAGGCAACCAGATGTATGTCTTCCACCTTCTTCCCCCAACCACCGGAATGTGGCAAATAGAAATTGGAAGAATGAGCCTCTGTGGGTGTGTGCCATTGTGAGCATGCTCACTGAGGCCCTAGGTCAATGCTGGGTGTGTCCCGTCCCCCCCCTCCCCGCTCACTGTCCACTTCATTCTTTGAGACAGGTCCTCTCGCTGATCTGGAACTTACTGATTAGTCTAGACTAACCACTGAACTCCAGGGATCCATCTGCTCTGCTCGCTATTGCTGGGATTACAGGTGTACACCTCCCTGCCTGGATTTTTACGACACTGGGGAT